GTTTAAATATATATATATATATATATATATATATATATATTTAAACATATATAGGTTGCTCTGAAAGTTGTACCTCCTATTTATTTCTGTGTAAGCTGCAACAGTAGCACAACAACACTGTTTGATAAAGCAAATTCCCAGCTACAAAATGCTGTTTTTTCAACACAGATACCAGTATTAACTGTGCGTTTTCATTAATAGTGAACAGGAGCCCAGTTCCTTCAACCTTTCCTCATAGGAGAGTTGCTCCAGCCCTCTGATTATCTTAGTGGCCCTGGTGTCAGAGGTCAACATAATAAAATAGGAAGTGTTACTTTATGTTTAGCCTTCATCCAATATATATATATATATATAGGATATATATTGGATATATATATATATTGGATATTAGATATATATATACTATAGTTATTATCTATAAGTAACAAAACATCTTAGTTTTTTATATTTTTTGTTAAAACATGGAAAGGAGGCCAGCAAAGCCATAGAACTTGTGAGATGTGTGACTTTATTTTTGTGAAACTAATGCATGAGTCTGGTTGGGTGGAAGTCACTGCAATTCTCAGTGAGATCTCAAGGTGTTCTTCAGAGATTTTGGGTGAGGTTTTGTTTTTACTGCGCTTCCTCCTTGAAAACAATTGTGCACAACAGTAGTCCAGAAAGTGGTGATATGCATAAGGTGTGGCTGTGAAGAAAGAGATATTTCTTTTGCTAAAATGGGGCTGATAAGCCTGGTAAAGAGTCATGATCGGATTTTTCAGTTCAATGTCTGATGCAGTGGCAGAGAGCAGTTGATTTGCCAGCTGTGCTGGGCCTTGTGCAGGCCATAGGTTGAATGTGCTTGTCCTAATTTATCCTCCTCCCACTTAGCTGTAGTTTTATTTGAAAGCTCTTTGAAAATGCATTGTGTTTCTTATTTTGTCCTACTACTTCTTTGGGGACAGATCTACTCAGTGGTTTTAAGGGCTAGCCCTGCATCCTGCTGGGGATTGGGAAGTTGGGGTGACCAAGTCTGGTCTGAGATGACTGAATAGACTCATGTCAGAAGTGATTTTTTTTTTTCTGAGATGCAATATTTTTTTATCAGGCAATGTGGAGAGTGACCAAAATGTAAGGATAGAATGGCTGTAGCTTTTTTGTTGTTGTTATTTGTTTTCAGGGCATGAAGATCCTAGAAAGACATTTGTTTTACTCCAGCTATAGCTTGGATTCCTGAGTGCATTTATAATTATTTGTTGGAACAGGAAACTAGTGGAATGAAATGAAGTTTCCCAACTGCTTCTTTTCTTTAGAAACACCGTCCCTCATTTGGCACTCAAAAAAAACAAACAAACAAATGCAGCATAAATGAAATTGAACAAGAAATGAACACCAACAATAAAACAATATGGTTGCTTAAATATAGGCATATACCTCTTAGTCAAGAATTTATACTCATAAAGGGAAAATTTCCAGCAAACACTGGATCCAGCAAAATCACTGTTTGTTTATCCCCTCAGTCTGCTGCTGTGTAGTGCATCCTTAAGTAGCATGGCTGAGTTCTTAGAGTATTTTAAGTCCTTGTTTATGATAGAAACATTGCTGAATATGTGTGAGTTCTGAGGGACTCCAGTGTTTGATAGTTACTTCAGAGTTCTCCCAATGCAAAATCCAAATGTGCTCAGAATTGTTTCTTTTTCTTGTATGTAAAAACTGGTAGAGCTCTTGATCCGGTTAAGATGCTTAGTTTACAGACTCCAGAACTGCTAATAGCGGTGTGTTTTACAATTTATGCTTCTTCTTATTCACCTTGGTGGAAATGCTGTATCTCTGCACAAATTCAGGCTTGCCTGTCAGCATGGAAGGGAGAGAGCCAGCTGGGGATGACTCTATTGAGCCTATCAAGTGCTGATGAGTCCTAGAAGGTCATACAGAAGAGGTGGAGGGCTTTGTGCAGTATTTGGCATTTCTTCTGAGAGCCTTTCTAATAAAATTGTGTTCTCTCTTCAGCGAAGCTTGTAGTTTCTTAAAATTGCCTTCATACAAAGCAATAAATTCAACAAAATGCCTTTAGGAAAATATGTATATAATGTACTTCAGATGACCTTTGCCTAGTAGGCTGTGAATTTAATTAATGAGTCAACAAGTGAGACATCAGAAAGAAATGTTCTTTGAGGAATCGATTGAAAGTTTAACGTGTTGTCGTGATGTGAAAATAATCACTTCAAAATTTTTACAGAAAACAGTATTAAGTCCTTTTGAAATGAGTTTTAAATCAGAATCTGCAGTTGGTATATGCATTTGTAATAAATGATCCTGTTTTGACTGGAGGAACTATGGCATTTGAAACTCCTTGCAGCTGAGGAAGAGACAGTACAGAAAATGTGTATGACCATTAATAAATGATCAGAAATTAATGTATGTATTTAGCCTGAAGAAGTATTTTAGACAGTACTTTCACCTATCAAGTCATTTTAAGTCTGATTTGGTGGTCAGCAGGTTGGAAAAATGAATGCTGGTGGAGGATAATGATCATTTTACCGAGTAAGTTGTTTTTGTGAAACATCCTTGAACATACTGTCAGACAAATTAGCTTTACACTGAAATATTTTTTTCTTTGTTTGTTTTGTATATGCAATGGTGAGATATTCTAGTGTAGGTTTGGCCAAAAGTGCTCTTCAACCTGAAGCACCTGAAAGCATGACGATCGTGTTTTGAATTTCCAAGTAGAATGTTTAATTTTTCTGCTTTCTTTTTTCAAATCAAGAGACTTTTCACTGTATGTACTAGAGCTAGTGGGGCTGATTGTAAGGGATGATCTTTAATGTCAGTGTTCTGCAGATTTCCATCTGCAATTCTTTGTTTTGCTTTTGAATCTTTTTGACCAGTAATTTGCTTTCACAATCGATCTCTGTCTCTCTTTTAACGTGCCTCTTGTTGGTGCTCGTAATTTTGCTAGTAGCTTCCTGGCTCTTATGCTTTTGTTATTTGTGCATTCTTTGTTGCTGGAGTTCAGTACTTGACAGCTGTATTTTATGTTTTCTCAGATGTTTAATTATTCATTCTGTTTTAATATGTGCCTAGCTTCTAATGTAACTTGCCTAAAGGTAGGAAGAATTATTTGATTTGGACATTGCAGTAATCATCGGCTGCCACTATAAAATGTTAGATACATCAAATGACTCAGTGACAATATGAGTTTAAAATGAATCCATGGAATGTATCATGAAGCTCAATGAGTCTGAAACTTTTCTAGAACTAAGCTTCATTTTTCTATTCCTTTGGAATTTTAAATTTTGCTGAATGCTTCATACCATCTTGTCTTCCTGCTTCCATTCCCCTTTTTCAGAAAGTTAGTTTTAGATTTCTCTGCCTTCAATCTAGGAAGCATATTACTTTGATTGTTCTTTGTGGTTTTTTAATTTCTCATAGATTTTTTCGTAACTCCGTTTTGTCTCTTCTGTCTTGAACTTTTTTTTTGTAACGCGTGTGTTGTGGTGGACTTCTAAACATCTTCTGTTGCTTGATTGAAATTGTAGACATCCATTTGATCTTTGTAACTGTCTGTGGGGTTCTACATAGATAAAATACACAGGTGATGCCATTTCACTGATATGGCATCATATTTAATCACATTTAATTCTGAGATTATGCAATTTTGTGAGTTTTTTGTTGTTTATGTTTGTTTTGATTTGTTTTTTGTTTTGCTTTTAGGCATACGCATCAGGATGCGATATCGTTGTATTAGGGACTGACTTTGAAAGATTACAGATAATCCCAGGTGCAAAACATGGAAACATTCAAGTGGGATGTGTGGACTGTTCAGTGCAACAGGGAAAGGTATGTGGTGCTTCTAATAATATTCTTGGAATGTCATGTTCAGTCATGGGTGTCCAACCTTCAGACTTGCGTGGCCCCACTGACTGAAGATGAATTGTCTTGGGCCACGTATAAAACATATAACATAGTTAATAATTAGAAGTAAAAACTTAGTCTGTTTTGATGGAAGTGGTTTAATTCTTAGTAAGTTCCCAAGGCATTCATCAGAGATTTTCAATTTCATCCTTGAAAATGGTTGTTTGCTTATGTACTTACTGCCAGAAAGTAATAACATGGATAAAGCATGACTGCAAAACAAGGAATAATTTTCTCTGCTAAAGGTGCTACAAAAGTCTAATAAGGAAACATCATAAAAGTTTTGAACTGAATATCCAATTTCAACTCCATACATTAAGTGAAAATTTGCATGTAATGTACTTACATTGACTGAAAATGCATTTACAAATATACCCAAAAATGTATAATTTTTTCAGCCATCTTGAAATCTCAAATTCCTTTATCAGAATGAGAAGCAAGAGAGTGTATTTTTCACTCTTCACAGAACCGTGCTTAGGCAACGTATCAGAATGTAAAAAAATATTTACCATAACTTGAGTTAGCTCTGTACTATGCCCTTCCTGTGTCCTGGTTTCATGGTTTGTTGGTTGTTGTTGAGTGATGGGTGTGTGACGGGCTGGGCCAAGCTGCTCAGCAGGAAAGAGCTGCTACCATGATTGCAGGGGGTGGGCTGCAGTGTGGGTTGGGCTGGGCCGCATTCGGACATGGATGTGTCTATGGTGAGAACTTGCTCAAAGTATGGATGCTTTCAAGTTAAGGTATATCTACTACAATGAAGGTAAAAATGGCTGATTGTTTCATCTGTTTGTTTTCGGTAAGACTATATAGCAAATAAGAAATAACAAGCATAGTTACGAGACTGTAGAAGATAAGACGGGGCTGTACAGGAAGATGCGTAAAGGAAAGATCATATGGTGGGAGCAAAAGCAGTTTATTCACTCTGGGTTCATGCTGCTCAGGTTAGTCATTGCCGTGCTTTGACATGTCAGTGACTGGCAGCAGATGAGTTCTTCCACAAAAATAATTTCCATATCATGGAAGAGTAATATACCTTTCAAGTAATTAATAAAGGCTTAAAATTGTTTATGGACATAATTTTCCTTTTTTGAGTTCTCATCTTTTCTGTTTCTCAAGCATGTAAACTGGTTCAAAAATGTGAGGTTTCAAATTCTTCTCAGGGATGTCTTTCTTAATTGTTCTGTTATGATAAAAAACAATGAACCAAGTAGTTCTGTCTATTGGGATGTCACAGTGTGGTTAATCTATTTACCAGTAGAGCTGGAAATGTGGATACATAATGGCTCATACAAACATATAAGATATATATATATATATATATTTTTTTTTTAATTGATTCCTTTAAGCTGTAGTAAGGTGGTAGCATTAGTGTTTTGCACATGTAGCTTTTAAGTTGCTGGCAGCTTTGGTTAGATTCTGGTGTCCATCCTGAGGGGAGATCTCTGCATGAAAGCTGCTTTGTGTTTACACGTGAAGTCTGTGAACGACCACCTAGGTGATCCATAGCTGCTCTCTATTCCTACCTAATAATATTTGAGTGATGAATTCTTGAAAGGGTAGTGTGGGAACGTCAATGAAAGTGTGGAAATGTTCTTCTCTCCATCTGTGGTAGTTTTCAGCTATAAAGAATGGTGTGTTTCTCCACTGTGGAAAAATATATATATATGTTTGAGCTCAGTGGATGTCTGTTAACAGAGGATGAAATACATATGCAAATAGCATATATATAAAAATACAAAATGTAAATATTTCTCTGCAGTTTTGGAGCACTGTTTTGACTATTTGACATCAGTTCTGGCCAAATCTAAACAACAGAGTTAGTTTGTAAAAGGTTTGTTAGCAGGTTATGAAAGTAATGAGTTCAAATTTTCCTCTGTTTTTGCCCTCTGAATCTAATTCTAATTTACTGGATAGCTTTGTGAAGCTACTTTGAAGGAGCAACAGCTTAGTAGTTGATGTTTCATCAATCCCTTCTTTGGCTTTGAAGAGTTGGGTAGATTATTGTCACTGCCATCTTTTTTCCTACTCTATTTTTGGAGATAAACTTCAGTTTTCATTGTCTAAGATTGAGATTGGGAGGGAGGAATGTATGAGAATTTCTAATTTCCCCAGCAGATTATGCATTCCTCTACCATGATTTGCATGAAAATGGCGTTTATAAAGAAGACAGTGTAATTTCAGGCCACTTTTTTCCTTTGGTTACATACAGCAGAATAATGGTAATGAACAATTTATTTTGAGTGAGTGTTCCTCTTTCACACAATGTCAGCTAAGAGTCTCTTTCCTAATTAATAAGAGAATTAAGACAAAAACTTTAATTAAAACATGAAAAAAAATAATGCAGTGTGACTTCTGTAAATATCTGACAATGCACAAGAAGATAGCTGTAGCTTCAAATCATTTGAAACTTCCAGGGGTAACATTTGGTGTGCTAATGTTTGTCCTAAAAGCCAGTGGTACAAAAATAGACAGAAGATGTATCCACATTTGGAAAAAAGTAGGAAAAAAAAATCTTATCAATATGATCTTGGTATAGAATATATGTTGAGATTTTGAATGAAATTACTGGAATAAAAAAGTGAGGTACTTGATTTTGAGAAGGCAGATATTAATCTTAGGTATAAGGAAAGGTTTATTTTTGCATTTTGTAACTGATGAAATTATTGTTGGCATTTATGGGTCAGGCTGATACTAGCCTACATAAAAATGTATTTAGCTGTGTTCTCTTTAACACAGAGGGCTTCTTTTGAAACTGGATCTACAGTTTTAGCTTAAAAATATTAACAACTTGGGCACATTGGTTTAGTTTCTTGTTTAAATTTCTATGGCTGGTGTTAGAATAGAGCCATGGAATCGCTCAAGTTGGAAAAAATCTTAAAGATCGAGTCCAACCACAACCATACTACCCTAAGTCTAACAATCCTCTGCTAAATCATGTCCCTGAGCACCACATCCGAATGGATTTTAGACACCTCCAGGGATGGTGACTCAACCACCTCTCTGGGAAAAATCAAAAAATGAAATCAAAATGTTTACGAAGTGACCCTGCCTACATTTAATGTTGCCTTAATAAAGAGTGAATTTCATGAGACAGAATCTCACAGAAAGGAGAAACTATTACATGATATCAAAACTGCAGGTCTTATTCTTTGTAACATCAAGCGTTACCTGCAAATTCTAGGTGCCCATTTTCAGCATTATCTCTGCAAACTTGTAATTTCTGTAAATCTGTCTTAATTTCCAATGACGTTGTCTTTTAAGGATTTTAGCGTGAGGCCTTTCTGTTAGCATTGTAGGATGGTTTGGTTTCTAAGGGAGCTGTAAGGATTATCTGGTTCTAAGCCCCTGCCACTATAGACACTATACATACAGCATGCTTAAAGGCACGTCCAGCCTGGCCTTGAACACTTCCAGGGATGGGACAACCATAGCCTCTCTGAGCAACTTGTTCCAAAGTTTCACAGCCCTCTTAATGAAAATTGTATTCCTTATGTTTAATCTAAATCTACTCTCTTTTAGTTTAAAACCATCATCCTTGTTCCATTGGTACATGTACTTCCTCGTTTAAAAAACAACACAACAACAAAAACACACACCATCTTTTTTACACGCTGCCTCTGAGTATTGAAAGGCTTTGGTGAGGTGTCCCTGGAGCCTTCCTTTCTGCAGACTGAAGCCCAGTTGCTTCAGCCATTCACTGTAGGAAAGATGCTCCAGCCCTCTGATCATCTCCATAGTGCTCTGTGAACCTGTTTCAACAGCTCCACATCTTTCATATGCTGGGGGCCCTAGCCCATTGCAGGTGAAACCTCATGAGGGCAGAGCAGAGGGGGACAATCACCTGCCTTGCACTGCTGACCACTGCTCTTTTCTTGCTGCCTAGGATCAGTTTGATTTTTGGGACACAGATGTTGTCTGCCAGCTCACATCCAGCTTTTCATCCACCAAAATCCCCACATCCTTATCTGCAGAGCTGTTTCCCATCCATTCACTAATATTTGGGATTTCCTAGATCCCACCATGCAGGACATTACACTTGGCCGTGTTGAACCTGATTAGGTTAATGTGGGCCCATTTCTCAAGCATGCCCAGATCCCCTTGCGATAGCATTCCTTCCTTCTGTCATATCAACTGCACCACTCAGCTTAGTGTCATCTGAAAATCTGCCGACAGTCTCTGTCTCTGGCAAAGTGTTAAACAGCTGATCCTGATACAAGTCCCTGAGTACCACCACTCATCACTGATCTCTGCCTGTCCTTGAGCTGCTGACCAGAGTTCTCTGGACACTCCAGCCAATTCCTTACCTACCAAATAGTCTACCTTGGAAACCCATATCTCTCTAATTTAGAGACAAGGACATATAGTTGTTATCAGTCCCTTGTAACAAAGTCACTTAAACTTGCCTTTATGTAGATGTTTTAACTACTAGTTTTGCCTTAATTCAGATTTGAGATGGCTGATACTACCAATAAAATAAGATTTTGAAATAACAATGCTGCCTGTACTGCAACTTTTTGGAGGCATTTTATATTAGTATTTAGTAACTATTCTGATTTCATGTTCTTTGCATAGGATGTTCAAGTTTTGTACCTTGAATTTTCCAAATTAACACTTTGTTATGTAGCACATCAAAGTGCTGGGGAGGTCTATTTTGAACACACTCTGAACTGATGGTGTCTCTGTTTTTTAGACTGTGAACATGGTAACTCGTTATGTTAACTATGAGAAGCATATTGATAATGGGTAGGTTGCTCCAAAAGTAATGCTTCTGATTTTTTTTTTATTCCCGTGGATACTGCAACAGATACAAAGAGCACAGTAGTGCTGCTTGATAGGTCAAATTCTTAGCTACAAAACATTATTTATCAACGTAGCCATCACCATTTACTGGTTCACCAATGAACTGATTGCAGTGCTCTTTGTTTTGTCGTGTGACAGCTGTGTTCGTGGCTGTCCAAAATATTGCTTGTCTTTCAATTTGATGTCACTACTCCTGAAATGCATCACACGCCATTTCACTTTGCCACATCCACTGTTTGGTCTCCTTAAATGTTCAGCAAGGATCAAAGAATGTGAACGGGTGCGTTTTTTTCCACCTGGAGGAACTCGGTTCTACACTTTTGCTTCATATGCAGTTCTATGTCAAACACCATTTGTCAGCCTGCCCCTCTGTTGCCATGTGACCATCATCTACTTTAGATATTTTAGGCCAGTATAATCAAGCAGAAGTCATTACTTTCAGAGGATCCCTCATAAATCTGCTTTAAAAAAAAAAAAAAGGCAAGTACAAAAAGCCTGTGCTGCCAACTAGTTTATTAGGACTAGTATGTAACTAAAAGGTTGTACTTACATTGTTGTCAACAATTGCTTCATAATCTTATTAATTTTTTTTTCTGTTACCTAAAGGGTGGAGAAATATTAGCTTAAAGTTAGAAACAGAATTCCATATTTTAATCTTGTTTGTTTTGCAGCTTGTTTTTTATGTATGTGTTTATGTATATGCAATTTGCTTTAGATTGCAGCTTCGTATGGAAATGTGGTTTGTATCTTTGAGCCAGTTAGTCTCTTGAAGCAGAGCAGCAGACATCATAACGTAAGTAATTCATCACTCCTTAATTTCATTTACTTAGTTGTAAAGCTTGGCTCATTTATCTGGTTTGCTTTAAAGGTGAAGTTGCTATTGTTGTCTAAACTGTGAGATGCAGTGGTCTGTGGGAAGTGAAAATGGTAGCAGGAGAGCAGAGGCATGTTATTTGAGATAATTCTAGTAAAAACAGGTTATATTATAATACTTCATGTTACATATATCTAAGTCTACAATTCGTATTGTAAAAATTCCAGAATCTAACAAGACAGGCATGCCACTGCACTCCAAAGAACATGTCCATTATTGTAGGAGTTCCATTTTGAACCACTTTCTGTAGCCATTCTGTGCTGATGTGTTTTACAATTGGTATTTTAACCACGATTTATGGAACTGCACATTCCTGTTCAAATTTTCAAAAAGCCTATTAACACCTTTGTTTGCCTAGGGTAGTGAATAAAACCAATATTTTCTTGATAGCATGGCTGAGTATTGATTGATAGTGACGTGGGGAGTTGGCAGTCCAGATATTAATTTCTGCCAAGTAATGCTTTAGAACAGTTTATTTAGCTAGGCTCTTCACATGGAAAGATTTACCATTGTGCTTGGAAGTACTTGGGTCCAGTAGAAGTTGGGTAATGAGGACTTCTCCGTAACAGTGGCTCAAGTAGCATTCTTTCTTCTCCCTGGGTTTGGTCTCTCCATTTGTTAATAAATGTTTAATGTAACTGTATAGTATTTTCTGTGCTGACCGGTAGTTCAGTCATGTGGTTCCTGATAGACTTGTAAAACTGTGGTATTTTATATATCTTAATGCCTCCTACTCAATAAATATAGTTTTACCAATGGAAAGTAGCAGGATGAAATAAAAGTAGCGTGGGATTTCATGCTCACATGAACCTTTTATGTGTATTACTTTCTGTTCAATCACTCAGACGTTTAGTCCACACTTAATGTGGTTTTTTTTTCTATGCAATTAACACCACATGTACCTTGAAACTTGGAAGTTACCATGCAAACTATAAGCAGTAGAGGAAGAATCTTCCATTCATGATTTGCTCTCAAGTAAATAAAATATTTCTACTGAAGTATGTGGTTACATAATTATTGCAGTTAACTTCTCTGCGAGAATTTCCAGCATACTTACATTGCAGTAAGATTGACGTTCTTATCTATTTATTGAAAATTCAGAATTAAAAAAAAAAGAAAGAAAAAAGCCAGTGTCATGAAAGCTTTCTTTAGGTCATTATCTACAAGTGCTACTTAATGTTTTCCTTGAAATATGCAGATTTGTTTGTTCTCTCTTTAACTTTTGTATAGAAGGATCCAATATTTTTTAAGTGTGGGATGATTACTTTAAAACTGTCTGTGAAATAAATATTTTATGAATATAATCTTCCAGTTGTCCCAGGGAAAGAAAGAATGACCAAAAAAACAAATGAAACTCCAAGAGAAATAGTCAACTATGTGCAGATTTTCAGGCAGGAGAGTGAGGAGGCGGAGAAACCCTGAACTTATTGAAGTCCTTCGAGAATACTCTGGATATAAAATACTAGGTGCATTTATTGCATTTCACTTTTTGATTTTTTTGTTTTCATGAAGTCAGACTTTCCCTTTGAAAAGCTCAGATTCTGATGATGGTGATGTGTACTAAAACTTTTTCAAGCTCAAATTTTTTCAGTAAGTTACAAGTGAGTGGTAATTTAGCTTTAGGCACACTCTTCACAGAAGTTGGATAGTGCAGTGAAGGTATGATATTTTTATTACAGAGCACAAGGGAAAGAAAGTATTTTCATGCTAAACTTTGTGAATATTTAATGTTTCAGCAATTGCATTATCAGTGGCAGAAGAATGCTCAAATCTTACTGGATGGTATAGCACATAATTTAACATGGGATCCCACAGGTAAGAATAGATTATAAGAAACACTTAAATTATTTGCTTTATCTAGTATTTCTTACTGAAATTTCACTGTTCCTTGGAGACAAGGAAAATACTAATTTTGTCCTACCATGATAGAGAGCACCAAAGTGAGATGAAATCTGCAGTTGATGAAAAGAGTCCCTCTTTGTTAGAGAAGGGCTGAAACAATATGCATATGGTATTATCTGATTATTCTATTGTCAGCAGTATATAATGTTTCAAATAAGGGCTAAAACAATATGTGAATAAGAAGCATGTATAGTAGCTCTAGGTACTTGTCTTTCAAACTGATTACACTGGAAGTTTTCAGCTCAAATTATTGTCTCTCATAAGAAAAGAGAATAGAAAGCTGACTTGCAAGATTGATTCAATCTTTCAATGTAGTGGAATGTATGAGAGCACACTATTGTATAACTTTGCTGGCATCTTGTTGTTTTTTTTTTTAACGTGGAAGTTAATATATGGCATATTTTGTTTTGCATTGTACCTGCAGTCTGTATTTTTTCTTTTTTTCTTCTTGCTTTAGGCACTCGCCTTTTGACCGGTTCCAGTTGTCTTCAGCTTTGGTCCAATGTTCCTTTGGAGAACTTGCCTGACAACGACAGCACTGACAGAACAGATGTTGGCGAATGGAGGTGTATCTGGCAATGCAAGTAAGAAACTGTTTGAAAAACGGTTCCTTTTCCCTTGCTGGTGTGTTTAGTGAAATGATACTGTATACTGCTGTTTGATAAACACTATTCAGACATGATACTTGAATCATTTTTGCATTGAGTAGATAACACTTTTTTATTACTACAAGTGTAGCTGTGACTATTTTTGAGGTAGTTTGTGTTCTTTAACAGTTCTTCAGTTTTACTGGGCATTGTTAGAATGCCATGTAAAGGCTGTCACTGTGACTGCAGCAGCAGGCTTTGTTCCTTGTACGGTGAATACGGTGAAGGCTGCTTATTTGAAAGAGATTACACTTGCAGGACCAATTTAGATAAAATTCCTTCTCTGTCCTATAAGCTGCACCTTCCTTTCCTCCACGGATGCCTTCCCACATTTTGCATTTTCTGTATTCTTAGATATTAAAAACATCTGTGAAAAGATGGACACATTTGTTTTTACCACATCTCTGAATGTTCTTTGGGTGTTCGTGTTAGTTTGGTCATTATAATCTGTGTCTGTGTATTTGCAGAAAAGAAATCAGAAGAGTTTTAGTTCAGTACTTCAGTTTTGTAAGTTTGATTCCTCCCACCACAGAGTCTTTTCATATATCGAGTGTACTGTTTGCTTGGGAGTAGTGTCAGTTTTGTTAAATAAGTCTCCATAACTGGTTGACTGGAAGGACTTAACCTGCACTTATTCCTCATGAAATAGAGGAAAGAAATCAAGACTTTGTTAATTCAGTGATATACCCTTGTGATATCATCTCGTAGCCTAATGAGAGAAACAAACTTTGAGATAGAATGCCACAGTGATGGTTTTAGAATCCGGGTGTACGTTAGATGTAGTCAGCAATGTGCAACGCTGTTATTCCTGTGTCCAGAAAATAGCAAGTTCCATGTGTGCATCTCAAACATTACAGAAGTCTTAAATTCGTACCTCTAAACTTGTTTGTGGAGCAGAAAGATTTTGCTGGATTTTGCATTTTTTAAATCAACAGGTCCCAAAAAGAACTTGCACTATCCATTCAGCTTTTGTGTCTGAATATCTTCCAGCATTTGTAATTGTATTGGATAAAGAGTAATTTTTTCTTAATGAGAATTTTTCAGGATACTGACTCTGCAGTACTGTTCCTTCCCAGAGTTATTTTCAGTGTCTAGAAAAGGCATTTCCAAGTGTCTCAATATTGGCTCTGGTGAGAACAGGTTGCTGAAACAGAGTTGTCAATTGCCTTTCTTTGATTCATAGATTTTGTAATGGATTTGCTGCTGTTAATATACATGCACACCATCATGCTTTTGTTAACCTGGTGACTAACTCAATCTCTTTTGAAAGTTAGGCCTAAAAAATTGTTACAAATGTCTAAGAATTTCAAGCTAAAAATATGGACTGTACTCACACCACACAATTAAATTCTTGCATGTTCTTCTTGCCGTAAATGAGCCAGTCATATAGGTGATAGCTCAGTGCTTGAAAACATGTAAAATACACTGGTACATATTTTCCATTGAAAGAAGAAAAATGAACCATGTTAGTAGGCTCACGTTTTGTTTCTTTTTTCAGTGTGGCATCTTTTACCTTTTTGACTGTGAATAACAACTATTTTAAGTACTTCTTAAGTACATTATTGTTGTTTGTTTGTTTTTCAGTTATGCCGTAGAAAATAAGAAAAATAAAGGAAAAATTAAATGTGTTTTTTTTTTGTCTCCCAGATAACTTAAAAGATAGTGTGGAGTGGAAGAAATGAATTTGAAATACACATGTTTATGAAGTGAAAACAGGATGTATCTAGGGCAGAACATGCATGTGTGATCCATTAGGAATGGTTTTCAAATCATGATCATTTGAAATGTCAGATGCTGTAGTTGTCATCAGTTGCATTGTTTGCTCCATTCTTTTCCTGTGTGACTGCAACCACACGCTGTATTCAAGTTTCCCTTCTGAACTTTCTTAAATTTTACATTGTTTGACAAAGTCCAATACGTACATTTCATACAAAATAGAATTACTTTCGTGAATTCAAAGCAAAAAGCTGTTTGGAGTTCTGAAGAAGTTTCATAAAACTTACTTGCTGTTTTTAATTGTCTTTATTTCATAGTACTGCTTCTCAAGTTTGTTTAATGAAATTCTCACCAGATGGGGAGTTTTTTGCTACTGCTGGAAAGGTAAACATTTTCCAACTGTTTTTTGTTTGTTTGTTTCTTCTAACCAAACAGCTTCTTCATGAATTTTGGTTGTTTGGTTTGTTTGTTTTAATTTTTATTTTGGTGAGTATTTTCTGTGATCTATGTATTTACCTTTTCACTTTTAATGAAAGGAGAATCTGGGGGAAGAATAATTTCCCTAAATAGGAGGGTTTAATAAAATATTCCCTGTGCCATATTTTAAAATACAGCTTGATACTGACTAAAAATGGATAACATATTGGAATATGTATTCCCACATAATCACAGTTGCTGTTCATGGCCAATCTTGTAGATTAATCATGTAAAATTCAGGTTATTGTAAAGGATGCAGTGAACAAATGTGACAAATCCTATGAGAGTTTGCACTACCTGTTAAAGAGTGGTAAGCGAATGGTTTGCTGCTCCACGTAATGCTGTTGTCTTTGATTGAGGGGAGTGTAGCACTGTCATTGATCAAAAAATCTATATTGGAAATGTCTGGAATTGTCTAGACTGTTTATGCAGCTGTCCAAACCGATGGTGGGGAGGTGAAGAAACCCTGCTGTTTTCAGTACTGTTTTAAAGAAACAATCTGAGCAGTTTTTGCACAGGTTAACAAATACAAGTAGGCACTAAGTTTATGCTGTCAACTAAATATCCTAGTAGAGATTGTGGAATAATTTAAAAACAGCAAAATGCTTGTGTACAAGCTTAATGGGGACCGTGATGTTTTTAAGATAAGTGGGCAACCTGGCTGAAGTGTCACAGTGCTCAAAGCAATACAAAGCTGACAAATTCTCTTGCCAAAGTACATTGTACTTTGAATAACAGTACGATTTTGTATAGATTTGTAGCCAAACACTGATAGCTAATGAGGAAGAGAATGAAATCTGAATTACTAATGGTAAGACAAACCAAAGAAATCTCTGCAACTACAGATCAGATGTTGTAGTTCTATTTACTGAGCTGACTTGAGTATTTCACTTGAAAGAAAAACTGAAAACCAAAGTATTGAGTTTCAAAGTATCAAGTTCTGCTGATATATCATGTTCTTATCCAGAATATGTACTATTTTACCCCACCCTCTCCCAGGACGATTGTCTTGTGAAAGTGTGGTACAATACAGACAACTGGCGATCAGCTGTAACACCACCGGGAGCGAGTCCAGGAAAACAAGCACAAGAAGTTGATTTTTCATTTGTTTATTTGGCCCATCCTCGATCAGTAAATTCATTTTCATGGAGGAAGACAAGCAAATTCATGCCGCGGTGAGTAGTTCTAATAAGCCAGGTTTGCAAATTGTCCAGAAGAAGCCAAGTCAAAACTAAAAAGAAAATTCTCTGAGAACTTAAAATTTTCCGTACTATGTGCTAAATTGTTTTGTAGAAGTGCAGGAAGCTGCTTTTGTTTATTGTGAAACCTCATTTAAATCCACTGTTCTACCACGTTGTCTTAGTTGTATTGAAATGTATTTTCACCGCCTTTCATAGATTAGACAGACTTTTCCTTTGGAGAGAGCTAAAGATTGGCATATGTTTTCACGGAGGTACTGTTGATAACAGTCACACAGGTTGTAAAATTTGTACACTTTGATTTATAGTGGAGTTTGACAGCCTTGTGTATTGTTTACATTTAAATGATTGCTTCATACTGAGCTTCTTGAGAGAATAGTAAGTATATGGGTGGGAAGGGACTGTGGAGAATGAAACTGAGTTCCTGATTATCTTAGATGTAAGACTAGATATAGAGTAATCACTTGCAAGAAAAAGCCACTCTTTACAGCTTTTTTTTTTTTTTTTTGCATTGTCTAAAATGCTTTCTCAAGCTGAAATAATATCAGCAATTTTGTAATCTTAAAACGTATTTTTCTATAACTGTTATTCCTGTCAGTAGATTTTGAATTCTGCATATGTCTGTGTGTTGCCAAGTTTATACAGTCTTTTGTATACCAATCTTTAAATTGAAGATATTTTGTAAAGCCATTACCATTATTTAGCAAGTTCTCTGCCTCAGTCTTCACTGGCAGACTTCTCATGCTTCTCAGGTGCCTAAACCTCTAAGCAGGGATTGGGTGAGCAAAATCCTCGTGCTGTAAGGATGAAGCAAATCAGGGCCTTTCTTATGAAGCTGAATGTGCATAAGTCTATAGGACCAGAGGACATGAATCCCAGTGTGATGAGGGAACTGGTTGATGTGGTCACCAAGCCATTCATCTGAAACCCACCACTTTTCAAGTAGGGAAGTCCCTGCTGACTGGAGAAAGGCAGACATCTCTCCCATTTAGTTAGGAAAGGAAGAAAAGACTTGGGGAACTACCGTTTGGTGAGCCTCACCTCTGTACCTGGGATGATCATGCAACAGATACTTCCTGGAAGCCATAGTAAGGCACTTGCAAGACAAGATGATCCATGTCATTTTTGAATCTTAGCTAAAACTAAACTGTAAACTGATGTGAGCTGGAAATGTGGCTTGTGTAGCTTTTTGCAGTGTTCATTTTAAGTTAACTGGAATTTTTGGATACTTATGTGATGCATTGTATTCAGAAGAATATTCATTGAGAGAAATTTGTAAATTGGCAGTTGTCCTGGTTCTACATTGGTTTCTGTGCTTTGAATATATAGTTATGTAATGTCCTTTTAGGTTTTTCTTTCCTTAACATTTAAGCTACCTTGTATGATTTTGAAAACTGATAGTAGAAACTGTTTGGTACTGTTATTTTGGTTTCATGCTGTGTTGATTGTGAGTGACTTGTTCACACCTTAAATTTTCTTTCGTTTCAGTGGTGCTGTCTGCAACGTACTCCTGACTTGCTGTAAGGATAATGTTTGTCGTCTCTGGGCAGAGACTTTGTTACCAAGTGATAGCCTGCTATATGATGGAGGGTATAACAGTTGGACTGAAGCAGTGAACTTCACAAATAGTTTCAAGAGAAATACTTCAAGTAAGGAACGAATGCAAAATGCATTAGAGGTAAGAAGCAAAAGTGAACTTGGAGAATAAACACGTACACACAATTGCAATTACTCCTTGAAGGCTCTTTGCTATGGACTACATCTCCACAGACTTCATCCACAGTCTGAGTCCTGCTTCTACAGGGGCTCTCCATGGGCTGTGGTCTCCTTCATACTATATCCACTGCTGTACTGGGGGCTCTTCAGTGACTGCAGGTTGAGAACTGCTTGCAGGGACACAGCCTGCTCCAGCAAGGGGAGTCCTGAGCTGTCTTGAAGAGCATCTTCTCCCTGCCTGCAGCATCTCCTGCCTTCTTCCTGCATTTCCTTTGGTGCCTGCAGAGCTTCTTCTATACGTGTTGTTACTCCTCTCTCCTAGCTGCTGTTGTGCAGCAGTTTTTCTCCTTCTTTAATTTGTCCTGCCAGAGGCATAACCAGTGTCGCTTACAGCTCAGCTCTAGCAGCAGCGGCTTCCCTCTGTAGCACTGGAGCTGACTGTTATGTGACTAGGGGCAGCTACTGGGCTAGAAAATCACTTACAGACAAAATCTGCTTTTTCTTTTTGAAAGGAATTAAAAATGACTCCTTATTTTTCATGCAGTTAAACCTGAGGCACTTTCGACGAGGAAGGAGGAGGTCAGGTGCTGTTGTTGCACATACTGGATACTCTCCACATCAGCAAGATCCTCATGAAGTTCACAGGAACATTCTTCCTCATGCAAATGCACTCTGTCACTTCCATATTGCTGCCAGCATCAATCCAGCAACAGGTAGAAATTGTACTAAATGCTTACTGCAGGGTAACTATAATTTTCTCTTGGCATGTTCTGTTAGCATAGGTGTAACTTGCTCTGCTTCGTACAGTATTTCTTTGATGATACAAAATGTCTAGCATATTGGTTTCTTTGAACAATTGGCAGAATTTACACCAACAGTTATGAAATACATTGAAGGAATTTCCTCTCAGTCATGGCTTTTCATTTTTTTGTCATGTCTGAGTATTTGTGACAGGAGTTACAGATTTAATGGTAATTGCACTGGGTGTATGAAGTGTATTGCAGGCTGCACACTGATAAAACAAAATATTCCAGACTTCTTCAAATGATTATCTGAGTTGTTTGACATAACCATTATCTTCATGCTTATGTTCTTTCTCTGATCCAAAGAAAAAACACTTTTATCTGGTGTTCCATAAACTTTATATTCTCCATTACTCATGCATTATGTTGATAGGGCTCTTCTTCAATACCTTATTAGTAACTAATATTTGTTTTCATAGCTGTTTGTCCATTCTGAAATATAAAAATACTGCCTTTGTGTACTCATTTAGAAGCTGAGTAGTTCAGTAGATAGTAGCCCTGTAGCCTAATGTGATGTGGTTTCCTGTGCTGATCCTTTCCTTGGAGTGTATTTAGGTACATCTTAAGCTTAGTGATTTTTTTTTTTTTTTTTTTTTTTTTTGCCTCTACGATCCTTGTTTGAAGGATTTGTTGTTAGATTTATTTGCTAGTTTGTATTTGTAGCTGTGCAATCTTTGGTATGATTGTGAAGAACAGAGGGTTTCTTTATATTGCTAGGCTGAATAAGCTGTAGGAAGATTTGTCTTAATCTTTCAGAGCATTAGTTCATACTACTGTAACAGATACAATTAGAACACCATACAGCCTATCGAAAAGAGACTTTTTGCAGTCTTGTGCTGTACAGTCCTTCAAGAAGTCCTTCAATCCCTTGATCATCTCAGGAGCCCATCATTGGATTCCTTGCAGTTTTTCTTGTACTGAGACGCACAGAACTGCACAAGATACTCAAGGGTGCTGCCTAGCCGATGCTGAGTAGAAGGGAAAAATCACTTCTCCTGGCCTGCTGGCAGTGATTTCCCTAGTTCAGCCCAGTATGGCATTAGTCTTCTCAGTGACAAGTTCACGTTGCTTAATCATATTCAGCTTAATATTTACCAGGACTTCCAAGTCCTTTTCTACCAAGGTGCTTTCCAGCTGTGTGGTCTCCAGCATGCCCTTGTGCCTTTCCAAGTGCAGAGCTCTGCTGTTCTCCTCATTGAACTTCTTGAGATTCTTGTCAGCCCATTTCTCAAATCTGTCAAGGTTCTCTGGGTGGCTTCAGAGTCCTTTAGTGAGTCACACACTCCCCACAATATTCAACCTAGGTTAAGTTCAATAGAAGGAGTAAGCGGTATATTTTATTTTATTTTTAGTTTTTGACAAAGTTATTTTTAGGCATATCCAGATAGTTACTGAATCCAAAGACTCCCTAAGTTTTTTTTTGTTTTTTTATTTAAAAAAAAAAAAGTGTCATTTATAAAGCAAATAGAAATTCAGTAAGAATTTACCCAGAACTGAGCACCAGTTAGAAGCTGTTAATCCTCAGGAAGATGCACAAAAAGTTGTTAGTTAAGAATTGAATTACTCTGAAGTTTTCTGGTAGAAGAACACAGGAGAATGCTTTAGGTTAAGCATTACTTTGTTCTTGTGATTGGCAGTACTTTTTCTTTCTATTTTCTTTAAGATGCACAGACCAAATTTCTTCAGTATTCTCTTTCTTTATTTCCTCTCCCTGTCCTTTACCAACTACAAAATTATAGATAGTCTTGTTGGTCTTTTCTTCTATTTGTGTGCCCTGTTTTTATTTTCTTATATTACAGCATAAATCAAAGAACAGTATTGTCATTAAAAATATTTTGTCTCCTGTGGTATGGAATTGAAGTACTAGTTCATAAATAAGGATTAGAAGCAGAATATCTGTGAAGGCTTCCAGGTGGGAATTAAGTGCAGGTTAAGCTTTTAGCATATTGCTTTATGGCTCATTTGAGTAAATTACAGTAATTTACCTAGCAACTTTCTTGACAAGCTCAGATGATGTAACTTTGCAGCAGTCCTGAAGCTTGCTTCTGCCACTTACTCTGTGATTACTGGTTTGTTTTTCACCAAGTGGGATCATATAGCTTTATAAAAATAAAAAATCAAAAGTGAATCTGTAGGAATGAGAAATCCTAGCTCTGAACGACAACATAACAGAGTAGTTGGTCACTGTTTTAGTTCTTGTTAGTGTAAACCCTGGTACATGCGATACTTGATAACCTTGTGTATGTCCTGCAGCCTCAGTTCTGGAGTTAACACTGGGAAATTATATTGAAATTATTTGGTTCGTACTAAGCTGTAGTAGCAAAAAGCAGGTGCAAGGTGTGCTAGTTTAACACCAATGAGCAGCTAACCCAGCATCATGCCACTTTTTCAAACCAGCCGTCCTCTACTCCAGATCAGAAGGACTGGAGGAGAAGATAGGAAGAAAAAAAAACCCCTTGTGTTTAAGTAAGGACTGGGAGATCATTTGCCAATTATCATTACAAGCTAAACAGGCTCATAGGGGAGACTAATGTAATCTATTGCCTAGTAGTAAAACTAGGGCAGGAAGAACTAAAAGCAAACTAAAAACACATCCCTTCTCCCCAGAGATCCACCTTTATATGTCTTTCTTTTGAGCAGTGCAGGGGAATGGGGATCTTGGTGCCTGCAGGGCTGTTTTGCATTTCTCACTCCTTTCTCCTAGTCGTTGTGCTGCAGTGTTTTCCCTTTCTTTAACTGCTCTAAAGAAAACACAACCAGTACTGCTTGTGGATCAGCTCTGTGCAGGAATAGGTCCCTTTTGAAGCAACTGGAGCTGGCTCTTAACTAACTTTGGGCAGGTCTTGATCTCCTCTTTCAATCCCTGCAACCCTTTGCTGCTAGAACCTTGCCACATAAACCTGATACACAGGGCCATACTGTAATGCTGATGGGGCGTACTAAAGAAACACCCAGTATAAAATCCCTAGTGGATAGCAACAGAACAGTGTGATACTGAAAGGTGATGTTGGTTGAGAGGTCTGAGTCATGGCAACTTAGTCCTTTTTCTTTTTTCATGATTGAGTTTCGACTTGAAAACAGTTTTTAAAAACTAATTTTTTGTCCAAACTGCTTTGTTTTGAATAAAGTTTTTAATATCTTTTGTGTTAGATATTCCTCTACTCCCTTCTATCACATCTTTGAGTCTTGGTGAAAATGAAGAAAAAAGTGGACCCTTCGTAGTGCACTGGCTGAACAATAAAGAACTTCATTTTACCTTATCCATGGAAGTATTTTTGCAGCAACTTAAAAAGAATTTTGAACATCATTCTCCTGAGACAAATACGGAGGAATCCAATCCAATGGATGTAAGATCGGAAGAAGGTAAAAGTCTCATAGACAAATGGCTTTCATTTTACAACATTTAATATTCCTTCATCTGGACTGTGAGGCATGCAATTTAATACATAATGAACAGAGAGATTGCAGTAACATTTCTGTGAATTTCCTTCCCTCCTACTATTAAGAACTAAAGTGTCTCTTTAAAAAAAGAAAAAACACATGCTTGAGGAAGTTGATTTAATGTTAAAACTAAACTTTCTTGTATTCAGTATTGATGTGCACCACATTTAAGCAGCTTAATATTTAACTGAATACATAATATTATACATAGTTTGGAGATGATTGCTATTCAGCCTATGCATGCAAAAACATTCTTATCCTTCTTATGTTCAAGGAACGTTTGGATGTGGTGTTGAGAGATATGGTTTAGTGAGAGCTATTGGTGATAGGTGGATGGTTGGATTGGGTGATCTTGCAGGTTTTTTTTCCACCTGGGTGTTTCTGTGATTCTGTGAAAGGGGAAAATATTTCAAACTGAAATGCAAACTCAGCAATATTGGTTAGTTAGTCACTGTCTGTAATCCACTGAAGGATTTTTGATTAGAGCTTTCATTATTTAAAATTTATGCTTGGATGAGTGATTTAGAACAGTCTTGCAAGGTGCTCCAGTGCTTGAAAGACACTGCTCTCTGAACTTGTGTTCTAGAAACTAATGAAAATGGAGATGAACAGAAAGGAAATGAAGAGAAGAAGGTACTGGGTGATGAAAAGACTACTCCAGCATCAAGCCTTGTTCCTTCATCTTCTGCTGTTGTAGATCACGAAGTTGAAGTATTGCTTTCTGAATGGAGTAAAAATGCTGATATGCTGTTCAGTATACATCCTATGGATGGTTCACTGCTAGTGTGGCATGTAGACTGGCTGGATGAATACCAACCTGGAATGTTTCGACAGGTGCAGGTACTTTATTTTTTTTTCAGGATTACACACTTTTACTGAATAGAAAGTGTGCTGAGAAAATTTTGATACTTATTGTTCTTTTCTTTATTAAAATTCCAGGTGTCTTTTGTTTCAAGGATTCCTGTTGCATTCCCAACGGGTGATGCAAACTCTCTTTGCAGAAGTATAGTGATGTATGCATGTACCAAAAATGTTGACTTGGCTATTCAACAAGGCAAACAAAAGCCTCCTGGCCTTACACGATCTTCATCTATGCTTATCTCTTCTGGACACAGTAAATCAACCAACAGTTTAAAACTGAGTATTTTCACACCCAATGTTATGATGATTTCCAAACATGCAGATGGGTCTTTGAACCAATGGCTAGTGAGTTTTGCTGAAGAATCTGCCTTTTCAACTGTGCTTAGTATTTCACATAAATCAAGATACTGTGGTCACCGTTTTCATCTTAATGACTTGGCTTGCCATTCAGTATTACCACTGCTGCTTACAACTTCACATCACAATGCTCTAAGTTCACCAGATGTTGAGAATGCAAAACAGGCAAATGATTCTTTAAATTCTAAGGAGTCAACAGTAAGACTTCAGGGTAGAGGCAGTGCAAATGTAACATCCCAGGATCCCAATGCAGTTTACAGTGAACTTATTCTTTGGAGAGTTGATCCTGTTGGACCGTTGTCCTTTTCTGGTGGAGTTTCTGAGCTTGCTCGGATCAATTCTCTCCATGTTTCAGCTTTTTCTAATGTTGCATGGCTGCCCACTCTTATACCCAGCTATTGCCTTGGTGAGTTCATTTTCCTGATTTGCTAAGAGTTCCAGTATAACTGTAATCTGAGCTGTTAATACTATTAAGTAGGCAATGTAGATATATGTGAATACATTGAAGAAAATATGTTAAGCTTAAATCCTTTATTTTACAAATTTCCAAGCTACCAATGCTTTGAAATTGTGTATACTCTTTTGAAGAATTGCTATGGAGTTCTGCCTCTTTCATGTACTTCTTATTTTAGGAGCTAATGAAGAGATGTGCTCAGATGCTAGTGTATTCTTTAGATTGCAGACTGGGGTGAACACTTAAAAACGGAGGTAGATTTTGCTCTAATTTAAATACCAAATTCTGATTTCGTTCTGTGTTCTTTAGTTTGTTTGCTAAGCATTATACTTTGTAGTTCTTGGATATGAACAGAAATTAAGGAGGGAATATTTCTCATGCTGTGTTTTGTATGTTGTAAATTTCCTCTTGATGAAGAAAGGAGCTAGCTGGTGTCTGAATATTTTGAGCAGTTTATGCATTCATGTTTTTCAGGTGCATACTGTAATTCTCCAAGTGCCTGCTTTGTGGCTAGTGATGGACAGCATTTGAGATTATATCAAGCTGTAATAGATGCTAAAAAACTTCTGTGTGAGCAATCCAATCCAGAGATTTCTGTAAGTGAATTCTGTGTCAAGTTTTTGGAGGTTTGGAATCTCATTCAGTGATATAATTACAGATTTGTTACAAAATGACTAAGCTGGTTACTGAGGATTTTGCAGATCACAGTAGTCCAGTTCTGCTTGTAAAAACAGATACCATAAAGCTTTTTAGCACTACAGTGGCACTACAGTTGAAAAAATGTTTCAGCTCAGTGAAAGAGCAGTAAACTGCTGCATGTGATGCTTTTCAGTTTAGGTCAAGTTCTCCCCACATTTCGACAACAGAAATAGTATGTCATTTGATAAAGCTACAAATGTTATCAGTGATTATGGAGACTTGCAGCCAGTGTATATATAGCTTTTGCTAACATTTGCTTAGATGTTACATCTAGCTAGTAGGCTGTTACAGAAATGGACAAAACTGAGTTAACGGAATCATCCCACTGACTTTTTTTAAAACAGAAATACGTTGGTGAAGTTTTCAACATCATAAGTCAGCAATCTACTGCACGTCCGGGATGTATCATTGAATTGGATGCTATCACAGAGCTTGTAAGACCTTTTTCTGTACTTCATACTATAAGCACCTCGTTACAAAGTGTTAACAATAGAGGTTATGTTTACAGCTTACTGTCAAGTGAAATAAAATATTCAAAGATTCATTCTGACTTACACTGACCAGCCAAGCCGACTGGAGTTCAAGAAGCATTTGGCAATGCTCTTAGACATCAAATTTGAATTTGAGGCAGTCCTGTGTGGAGCCAGGACTTGATATTCCGTGTGGTTCCTTTCCAACTCAGGATATTATATGATTTTTAATACACTTTAATACACTTGCTTTTAGTTTCACAGAACTTGCAGATGGAGAAAATTGTAATAATGAGGTGCATTTTATTGGGGAAACTTTTCTTGTATTCAACTTAACAATCAACTTAAAAGCTCCCATGCTAGAGAGAAAGCTTATGCAATGCAATCTGATGTTCAGATCTTGTGTGTGTCTTTTACTTTCTTAGCATGGCAGGAAAACACAGTTATTCCATGTTTTTCAAGAAGACTTCATTTTAAATAACCAAGAGAAAGAAACACCTGATAAGAAGAATAATGTAGTGGATTCCGGTAAAGAACTATTTTTCATTAAATACTGAAGACAAATAATTTTATGTTGCTTTCTGCAGAACTTATTGTATAGGCTTTTGCATTTTCTTCATTTAAGAGCTTTGTATACTAAAGAAATTGTAGTGTAAGGAAACCTATAATAGGTGCCTGGGGGACTAATATGCATCCAAATTTAGACAAAGTAGCTTAAATTGGGAAGTACCCATCAATTACTTTTTAAAGCATTTTGTTGTTGAGACGCTTCTTACGTAAAGTGTTTTAAAATTTAAAGCCTGTAATTGAAAGATATGATGTAACAGCAAACTTATCTACATCCTTTCATTAAGGATGCTCATCCTTCACATAAGCTAAATGCTATCATAAGGCCTAATAATGCAATAAAAATTATTCCAAATTAGCAAACCATCCCCAAAATACCCACAACTTAAAATACAATACTGTGAGTAGTTAATGGATATTGCATAGTTATAATTATAGGGTTTATGATTCTGTGCATCTTAAGATTGTTCCCAAGTTCTCTGGAATAATTTTTTTTCATTGGTAGAGTTGATCAGTGTTTTTGTTGTTTAGGCATCCTCAATTTTGTGTTGTTCTGTTCCAACGTAATGGTTTGGAAAACAAAGGTCAAAATAAAGTTGTGATCTGTGATTCCAAGTTATCAGCAGTATTAGTAAGACTGCTAAATATGAGGAAGCAAAATTGTGTGAAGTATCAAAATGTTGCTTAGAACTAGATATGGGAAATATATTTTTGGTGTAAGAAAAGATACGTTTTAAGAAAAATGACATGAGCTGAATGTACATAGGGATTGATTCTGAATTAGCTGTTTTTGCTTAAGAAAGATGTGGAGTAATAGATACTGTCTATGAAATTGCCCACTACTGAGAGCCGCATTTACCAGAAACACAAATGAGATGATGGAAAGAGCTGAAATGAGGAAAAAAAATAAGAGTTATGCGGCAGTAAATTTGACATGTGTTTGCATGGAAGCCCTTCAGTCTTGGGTGTCTGTGTATATATGTGTTCTGGAAGACTGCACGTGCTGCTGCCATGTAAGATATTGGATTAAATGGATCCTTTGTAAGTATGACCTAGAATGTAGTAGACCTGCCTTCTCACTTGAGTGTACCTACTGCTTTAAATCACTTCAGTTTTAATCCTCTACTCTTTAATGAAACATTTCAAGTACTTGGCTTACAATATTTTTTTTTTTTTAAAGGACAAATTCAATAGTAGATGCTTAAGTGTATGCAACAGACTCATTAAGGACGTGTAGAATTGAGAATAAGTTTTGGGACTCAACTTTAAACACATGGGAGATTTTTATCCCCTCTGAAACAAAATAGTGAAATTTTTCATGTATGTACCTGAAGAAGTGGCAGGGGTTATTGCTTGTGATAAAATATTCATAAAAGTAGTGGGAAGGAGTTAAATACAGTCATTGCATTTGAGCGTCAGTTCACAGTAGCTTACTTGCTAGCTGGCACTTTCAGTTGAAATAAAATGTTCTTGTTCTGATTTTCATCAGGAAAACAGCAGAATGGATTTTCTGAAAAATTCTACTTAATAGTAATAGAGTATACTCAAAGCCGTTCATTACTACACATGTGGCATTTACATTTGAAGTCAATTCCAGTCTCAGTAGGTAAGCCCTTTTCCTTGTAGAATAGATGCTTGTTTAAGAAAAAAAATTCACTTTCTTCTGAATCTATCTGCTACTAAGTGGTTTCCTAAGTAATATTTCAGCTTTTGGAAAGAACCTCAATTCTTCTGTTAAAAGCTTACATCAAAAGCCACTGTTTCTTTACTAGTTCTTAATTTTCAGAATGCTGAAGCGTTTGAATTCATCATGAGCCCTAAGTTGGCTATGCTTTTTGTTTTGTTTTGTTTTTTTCTTAAAGGCACATATTCATATGGTGTAAATGCAGCCTAACAGTTCAGATGTTTTGCTTCTCAGAAGTTTTTTTCTGCAGTTTTTGAATTTAAGATGTGTTATACTGGACTGTCGTCTGAAATGATTACAATTACAGTTATGTGCAAATCTAAATACAGAAATCTGCTAATTCTCTTTCAGATCATTAAAGTACCACTAAAACTGTAAAGTTTAGGTACTCTAGGATTTTAAGGCATCCTAGATCAAACACTGGCCACACACTGGAGGAGTTTTATAATGCGTGTTCCTATATTTTAAGCCACAACTCTTACTTATCACACTTTTGCCAACAGGCAGAATGTCAAAAGTTGTTTTAAGTATTATAGAAGGTAAGAAATTTGTGACAAAACGTAAAATTTTCTAGTCTACTTACATGGTGAAGAAATTACTGATAAGGGTTTTGTTGTTGTTTTTTCTACGTTTTTTCAAAGAATACAGGTTTCAAATCATACTTTTACTGTGTTGGTTTTTTTTTTAATTAAAAGGTAATAAAGCATTCATAACACATAATCTCTTAAATCTTACGTTTTAAATGAATGTTGCCAAAATTTCAGGAAAAACTGCTTCTTCCTGATCTTTGAGGTAAGACTTTGAAGAGTGTTCAATTGTTTCTAGCTGCAAATATTTCATGCCTAATGAAGCATTAATTTCTATAAAAATAAAAATATGTAGAACCCCACATATTTACCTCTTCTGTAATTTTGCTGTCTCTAACAGTATAACTGTTCATAATTACTAAACTGTTTTACAGTTCCAGTATTTCAGGTGTGTTACAATTTCTCTTAATCTGAGATCAAGAGCATATTTCTTTTAAAAGAAAGTAAAATTCTAAGCTTTTACCTATCCTTTGAAAGTTTTCACATCAGTGACACAGTCTCTTAAGTTAAAAGAGATTGTTGACTTTTTTTTTAATAATGCAAACTTTTTTTCAGATGAAAAGATAGACTCAAGTACTCCTGACACAGCAGCACAAACAGAAGAGTTGTGTTCTTCACCAGATCCAGAGAAGATCCAGTCACCTTTCACGCAAAAGTATCAGGCCTGTAGAGCAAACCTTCAGAGCACCAGCTGGCTCACTCTGTCTTCAAAAATGGTGTATAGTCAAGAGCTGAGTTTGCCAGAAGGAGTGGAGATAATAAGTGTTAAGCCTTCAGCAGGTTTGTAATTTTTTTTTTTTTCCTTCAGAGCAAAATGAATAATCTAGTGTTGTTAGACAGTACCTACAGGTATTGTAATTTGGAAAGGTTTGCTAATGCTCACCCTGTTTTATTATTTTTCATCTGGATCCTGGCAGTAATATTAAAATAAGGATTACTATACTGTACAACTTAGTATTTCTTTAAGTCCAGATTCTGATGATAAAAGAAATTTTAGAAGCACAAATTTGATTTGCAGTCATTAATTAGATTTTGATGGTGTATAAAATTTTAGGTTGCAACCAGAAGTCTTTCGAACAGTATTCTGAAAAGATGGATTTCAGACTGGGAAATTTGTTTGATAGGAGAGACTACAGAAGTGTATCTTCTTTCTGGTGAGAGAGAAGAAAACAATGTCTCTTTCCCATACAACACAAAAACTGGTACCTAGTGAGATTAATACTCAAGTTTAAATTGTGCAATTTAAATCCTTTCTAGAGAATGACATAGAGACTAATGCTAAAATGGCTCCACAGGACTTTTTAAAATATCGTCTCCTGGGATGTGAAGTTCTGGGAAGAAGCTTTTTTATGAAGAAGTAGTGATACTTTGTTTCAAAATAATGAGATGGTAAATGAACAAAAGTATTTTTACTTTTGGCCCATTTAAAAATCATTTTATTTTTAGGGCATCTGAGCAGTTCTTCCATATACCCCGTTTGTCGTGCACCCTATCTGCTGGCTACTTCATGCACAGATGGAAAAGTTCGATTCTGGAGATGCAGGGTGACCAATGAATCGTCAGTTTCTTCCATGCCAGAATCTAATGTACACAGGGATGTAACATACATCTGGGAAGAATGGCCGTTACTGATTGAGGATGGACTTCTTAGTAGTAGTGCTATTAATGTTCCAGGAAGCCCAACTGAAGTTAGTTGTGCACACACAAACCGATTAGCTGTAGCATACAAGCAGGTAACATCTAAAAACAACCACCTTTCTCAAGACTTTGTTATGCATGTTAGTATTTTTGAATGTGAATCTACAGGGGGTTCTTCGTGGGTGCTTGAACAGACTCTTCATTTAGATGAGATAGGCACTATGTTAGACTCTGCTGTTAGTATTGATAGTAATTTAGTGGCATATAACAGACAGGAAGTTTCTCTCTCATGTGGTAATGTTATTCCTAGTGCTAAGCACTTAGTACACTTAGACTGGATGTCTAGGGAGGATGGTTCACATATTCTAACAGTGGGAATTGGATCAAAACTTTTTATGTTTGGACAGCTGTCTGGAAAAATGCAAGAACAAATTGGTAAGGAGGCTGTAGCAATCTCCCATATTGGCAGTACTACTACAAAGGCTACAAACTTTTCTAGGTTTGTTCTGCTGCGTTCTGTTGACTTGGTTTCTTCTGTAGAGGGATCACCTCCTTTTCCAGTCTCCCTGTCTTGGGTGCGTGATGGCATTCTTGTAGTTGGAATGGACTGTGAAATGCATGTTTATTCTCAATGGCAACCTCCTGCCAAGCAGGGTCCTGTTAGTACAGATTCCTGCAGTATGCCAAGTATAACTAGCTTAATGAAAGAAAGCCAGTCAGCTGCCTCAGGTCTGCCTCCACCAAAGCGAACCTTGACCAGATCTATGACCAGCCTTGCACAGAAACTTAGTGGGAAAAGATCTGCCTTTGATCTGTCTGCAGAAATGGAAGACTCTGGTCTTTTTGAAGCAGCTCATATGCTATCTCCCACTTTACCTCAGTACCATCCACACCAACTGTTAGAACTCATGGATCTTGGTAAAGTACGTAGAACAAAAGCCATTCTGTCCCATCTAGTGAAGTGCATTGCTGGAGAAGTTGTTGCTATAAATGAATCTGAACCTAATCATGATAGGAGACTTAGATCTCTGACCATCAGTGCTAGTGGAAGTACTTCACGAGATCCCAAAACGTTCAGCAAAATGGAGACTACAGACTATATTGAAATAGACTCTGTTCCACCATTACCGCTGTATGCTCTGCTTGCTGCAGATGACGATTCCTCTCATTCCTGTTCAGAAAAGTCTCATAGTCAAAATAGTCAAAGTAAAAATGATATGCCCAAGGACAATTATGAAGATCTCTTTCAAAATTCTGTTATAAGTACAGATGAACTTGTAACGTTTGATGCAGAGGAAGACAGTGTGAAACCAAAAGTAATTGATCTTTCGCAATTTAGCCCAACTTACTTTGGACCAGAGCATGCCCAAGTTCTTTCTCGTCACTTGCTTCATTCAAGCTTGCCAGGTCTGACTAGGATGGAACAGATGTCATTGATGGCCTTGGCAGATACTATTGCTACTACTAGTACTGACATTGGAGAAAGCAGGGACAGAAGCCAGGGTAAGCTGTCTCTTCTAGATTTTATGTCTTACTGTTTCACAACTCTTTCTGGAACTTTCCTGTTATTTTTGAATATTTCTTTGGCTCGTCAGAGCATTTCCTAGTTCTGTGTTACAGTATATCCTCTTTGATTTGCTGTGTTATCACAGCGTTTATGGTTCAGCTTAGGTTTCTGACTTTCATACTGTCAAAATCTGCATTACTGAATGTTAATGTCAGTGTTTTTGAAGAGACAGTTTTGTTAACCGCCTGTATTTGTTCTGCTACATAGAGAAATAGAGAAATAATTTTGTTTTATTTGATAAGTAACTTTGTAGATTTGAGATTTTTTTTTTTCTCTTGTATTAAAGGGAAGAATTAAGCTATTGCATTTTTAAAGCAACAGTATGTGTAAAATTACAAGTTATTTCTTCTCATAAGATACTCAATAGCTATTTTTATTATTTTTATTTATTAGTTTCAGTGAAGTGCATACTAGTATGTTTAATTACAGGTGGAGAAACTCTTGATGAGTGCGGTTTAAAATTTTTGTTAGCTGTTCGACTTCACACATTTCTAACAACTTCGCTTCCTCCTGTACATCGAGCTCAGCTGCTTCACCAAGGTAACCAATATGTTCTTAAATGACATGTTAGTCAGTATAGTACATGTGATTTTTTTCTATTATGTCTGTGAAGAATCAATGAGGTAATTTTGTAATTAAAAAAAAAAGAGATCCATGGAAAAAAAAAACCAAACAACTGTAACAATTTTGTAGTTTCAATTTTATTTTTTCTATTTTATTTCCCCAAAAGAACAGACAGTAGCACCATGATGTTCCAATATCATTGTTTAGGAGTAATGAAGCAGAAAATACAGAATACTCCTTTGCTTAAGCTTTTATTACTTGGGGGAGGACGTGGGGTAAGATCCTTCTCTACTTAGACCCTAAAACCTTTTTTGTACACCTAGTGTAATTATCCAGGAAACTATTTTAAATGAAGTTTTTCATGGTACAGTTTTAACTAGTTCCAACCTTATATTACAAAATGGAATATTTGATTAGGATTTAACCAAATTTAAAGAGTTGGCTGTGATTATTTCTTCACCCTTCTATTAGTCATCAGAACAGATGATGATATTTTCAATCATTTGGTCACTTACTCAGCTACATACAAGGTTAGAACATTTCCAAATTATCGTAACACAGTATTATCAACTTAGGTCTCTGCTGGTATCCTTTAAATTTGAAATACTTACATGTCTCCTGAGCTGAGAAATTGGTGGGAATTACAAATGCCTCTTGTGCTCTTGTAGAAGAGCAGTTGAGTGTGCCACAGTGCAGAGCGGCATCCCATGGTCATCCTTAGAGTTTCAGACATCTATAGCTAGCTTTTATAGCAATTACTGTTTCCCTCATATCATGGCTCTCATCTTCCAGTGTTCTTGTATGTCTCTTGTCAAATATGTTTTCTCCTGGACTAATCTTTAACTTCACGTTTTCCAATCTAAGTAGAGGTAATGAAAACACTGAAAAGTTGACAGACCTGTTGCACTTCATTTTGTAGCTAATCTTCATGCTACATATTAGAATTTGGGCTTCAGTCAGTAACTATTCTTTGCAAACTAAACAGTTTTAAAGTGGAAAAAAATGCTTTTATCTGCATGAGCTTTTTAAAATACTCAGTGTGCAGTGCTTAAAATATTTTAAAATTTCTGTTATCAGTAATGCTGTCAAAAGTTCAAAATAAACAATTGGGCCTTCTTCCCTTTTCTCTTAACTCCCTTACCTTCTTGCAATGGTCTTATTTCGTTTTATTTATTTTTTATTGTGATTATCTAGGTTTATCTACCAGTCATTTTGCCTGGGCATTTCATTCAGTAGCGGAAGAAGAACTACTGAGCATGCTCCCTGCAATGCAGAAAGGGGATCCAACGTGGTCAGAACTCAGAGCTATGGGTATAGGATGGTGGGTTCGAAATATCCATAGCTTGCGGAAATGCATAGAAAAGGTAAAGATAGTGCTCTGAAACAAACTGCAAAGCTGCTTTTCAAATAACTGTCCTCTAGTAATTACCATCTATTTACGTTGTTTGAAATTTTAAATATGTGAAGTCCAGCCTTTCTGAATTTTTCATGCTGTATTTATAATGAATAATTTAGTACAATTTTATATTTAACTTTTTTTTAGTAATTTAAGTTTCAAATTCCAGTGTGGAATACATTTTGGGATTTTGGAAACCGGATTTCGATTATTACGGTACAATAGTAGATGCTCAGTATGCAGGTTGATCTAGTAGTTGTTCTTCTATAGCAAAGATCTCTTCTATGTTAGGAAGCAAGTTATGGCAGAATGTTCTCTTTCAAAACCTATCAGACGTCAGGCCAACTAAGCTATTATACGTATGTCTTGCAAATTGATGTATTTCCCTGTCAGCAAAGCCTTCTAATGTTCTTTTCTATAGTAATTGTGTGTTTGAATTGTCACAGATGTGGCAATTCCTAACCTCACTATCACTTGTTTTAAGCTTTTGGAAGAGCCAAAAGTGTTGAGCTAGAAAATGACATGCTCAATTTGACTACAAGGCACAAAGTGGTAAAATGCATGTCTCTACTTCTACTGTTTGGTCTTCAGCAATTAATCATCATTTCATGAAAGTTACTTGCCTTGTATTTAAATACGAATAATTTATAAAATTGAAGTTTCCTGGGCCTATATTTAAGGTCACTTTACCTGGGTCTTGGATAATACTTACTGACATTTGCCCGTTTTCCTTTTCAGCTTTCAAAAGCAATCTTCTCCTATTGTGATGGGTACCAGCCTCTTCTTCTAGTCTCCATCTATCTTTTGATTACCAGAGTAACTAATATGTTAATTTTGTTATAATTTCAGGAACTAACTTCAACTGTAGGCCTTGACAGCTGATCTGATAAAAAAATACTTTTAGCTAATGGTTTTGTAGTTCCAGGTGGTGGAACATGGTTGGGACACAATGGTACACATGTAGAGAGATGTCTCAGATGGTTAAAGGCTCTTCAGGAGAGATAGAACCTGTTAAAGTAGTGCAGAGGAGGGCTGTAAAGGTGCTTAGAAGGTTGGAGCACCTCTCATGAAGATAGGCTGAGAGAAGAGATGCAAGCCTTAGAGAAGAGAAGGCTGCAGAGAGATCTAATAACAGCCAGCTAGTACTTAAATAGGGACTGCAGGAAAGATTAAGAGAGATTTGTTTTTCTCAGAAGTGTAGTGATACGACAGTGGGTAATGGCTTTTAAACTTAAAGAGGGTACATTTAGATCAGATGTTAAGAAAATGTTCTTTACTACTGCGGTGATGAGGCACTGGAACTGACTGTTGTGGGAAGCTGTAGATACCCCATCTCTGGACATACTCAAGAGCAGGATGGATGGGTATTTCGGCAACCTGATCTAGTGGAAAGTGTCTCTGCATATGTCAAGGGAGTTGCATCTAGATAGTGGTATAAGTCCTTTCCAGTCCAGATCATTCTGTGATTTAATGACATGGGGGCAGTGTGGTGGTTTAAGTCTGTCTTGAGCACAGTGTTCATGAAATTACGGTTTTCAGTCTTTGGTGAAGTATGGAAGATGGTCAGAAGAACCGTAGATCTGTAGTAAGATCTCCTGTTTGGAGACGTGGTTGACAGAGTCCCATGGGAGATTTCTGAAAACTTGGACCTTCTTCAAAAATGAGATCGTTAAGGTGAAGGAGCAGGCTGTCCCACCCAGTTCACTAGACGTAAAGCTGGATGGGGATAAAGTCAAGCTGACAGCTTGGCTTAACAGAGAGCTTCTTCAGGAACTAAGGAAGAAAAACAGAATTTATGAGCTCTGAAAGAAGGGGAAGACAACTCATAAGGACTACAGAGCTGTCATGAAGTTGTGCAGTGAGAAAATGGGACAAGTCTAACTAGAATTCAGTTTGGCTAGTGCAGTAAAAGAAAAAAGGTTCTATAAGTACCTCATCAGTAAAAGGATCGTTAAAGAGAGTCTATTCTTTGTTGATATAATGGGAAACATGATAAAAGATGAGGAAAAGGGCGAGGTGCTTATTGCTTCTTTTGCCTCAACCTTTATTAGTAAGAGCGTTTGCTCTCAGGATACCCATCGTCCTGTTTTGGAAGATGGTGGTGGGGAGCAAGATGTAGCTCCTATAATTCAGATGGAAACTCTAATTGACTTGTTGCATCATTTGAATATTCACTACAAAGAGGCCAGATTGGGATTCATCCAAGGATACAGAAGGAGCTGGTGAACACTTGGCTTTCGAGTTGATTGGAGGTTAGTAACTGTGACTCCAATCCGTAGGAAGGGTAGGAAGGAATATCCAGGGATCTACAGGTGTCAGTCAGATCTTGCAAGTGCCAGGGAAGGTTGTAGTGAAGTTCGTCGTGAATGGCATTGTAAAGGAGAATCAAATGACCAGCCACAGCATTCCTGTGTTTATGAAGGCTGGTCCTGCCTATCTAAAATGATCTCCTGTGACTAGAGAACCCACTTAATAGATGAGGGAAAAGCTGTGGATGCTACCTACTTGGATTTTATTAAAATGTTTGACACTGGTTTTGAAAATATCCTGGAGAAACTGTTTGCTTTTGGCTTGGATAGGTGTACAGTTCACAGGGTGAAGAGCTAGCTGGCTAACTGGGCTCAAACCATAGTGAATGGAATTCGGCTCAGTTTTGGAGTCAGCTTTGCTTAATGTTTTTATCAATGATCTGGGTGGTATTTCAGGTGAAGAAAAGGAGGCTCAGGGGAGACTTCATCACTCTACAACTACCTGAAGGGAGGCTGCAGAGAGGAACGGATCAGTATCACTTCTCAGGTGACAAGTGATAGAACTTGTGGAAATAGTCTGAAGTTGTGCTAGAGGAGGCATAGATTGGTTCTCATGAAGAATTTCTTCATAGTGTGTGGTCAGGCATTGGAATGGGCTGCCCAGGGAAATGGTGGAGTCCACATCCCTGGAGATGTTGAACCAATGGATGTGTCAGTGAAGGACATGGATGAGTTATGGGAGTTAGTAGGTCAGTTTGGCGGTTGGACTTGATGATCTTGGAAGGCTTTTCCAATCTAAAAGATTCTGTAATAAAAGTAGGGATTGTAGCAGTGGTAGCTACACACATCTTTAGACCCAGAGTGAGAAGAGGGATTATTTTGTTAGAGAACATCTTAGCTCAGTGAAGCACAGGGGATGGGAGGAATCCAATCTAAGTCTCTTAAATTCTGGTGTGCTTTTTTCCCCCCTTGTTGAATTGTCTTCACAGGTAGCCAAAGCAGCCTTTCAACGAAACAATGATCCACTTGACGCAGCCATTTTTTACCTTGCAATGAAAAAGAAGGCTGTGATCTGGGGATTGTATAGGTAAGTGATACCAGGGTCTTTACAATATACAATATAACTTGGAAAAGAAATGTTGAATGCAGTGCTGATTGAAAAGAAGCCCAAATGTTACCACTGAAAGCTGAGAATGAATTTCTAAATAAATTAATACACTAATCACTGAGATTCTTATATTTACTGTGGTGATTTTGTCATTTCTAAAGGTGGATGAATCAAGCTTTAGTCTCAGACGTACTCTAATTTCATACATTGCTAAATTCAGATTAGCTTATAGGGGATTGCCTGTGTTATGTTTGGAATGGCAGTAGTATCCTTAGAAGTGCTTTCAGAAATAATTTTGTGGGAAATTCAAAGAACTGAGTTGAGCATTTCTTTCAGACAGACATTTCATAGTAATGTTTAGCTTTGTGAACGTCTTAAAAATTAGGTTGTGATGAAGATTGAAGATCTTACCTTAATTTTTATATTTACCAATGATTTTGTTAGTTTGCAATAGCAAAGCCTCCTTTGCGCTCAGTGCTATGAACACATCTGCGTACTCACATCTGACCAAATGAAGAGCAAAAATGCATCTAATAAATGCGTAATATTTCTATCAATTATATTCAAATGCAGATCCCAAAAAGACACCAAAATGACGCAGTTTTTTGGAAACAACTTCTCTGAGGACAGATGGCGTAAAGCAGCATTAAAAAATGCTTTCTCTTTGCTTGGCAAACAGCGTTTTGAACATTCTGCAGCATTTTTCTTGCTGGCAGGTCACTTAAAAGATGCAGTGGAGGTAATGAAGTAATGAACTTCTTTGTTATATTGTTCTAAACTTAACAATGAATCAAGTGTGAAAATATGTAAGAAACATTGCAATTTAAATTAATATGACCACTGAAAATTCCAGTTTGTTTGCTCTTTTACTCTCTCACCCCCCACCAATGCATTAATGATATACAGATCTTTTCTTTACATCTTAGTTGTTATGCTGCTGATAATGAAGAGGTCCCATGGTTGATGCCTCTGTAATAATACTAGGAGGGCTATCTACCATAACTTCCTTTCAGATTCTCTGTTCTGCCACATGTAGTACAATGTAAATTTCCATTGCTACCCAAATTTTCATTGTTTCCAAATTAATTCCTAGTTCCTGCTTAATTTTTGGAATTGATATACGTATTTATGTCAGTTTGAACAGGTGAATATCACTTCCGGTCTACAGTTATTTTAACCAGAGAAGAAATTACAGTGTTTGTAATTACAACTGTACTTATTTTCTTTCAGGTCTGTCTTGAAAAACTGAATGACATTCAGTTGGCTCTTGTAATTTCAAGACTTTATGAGTCAGAATTTGAAGTATCTAGTACTTATAAATCTGTACTACAGAAGAGAATTTTGGGAAGTGTGTTTTCTGGAAAGGAGAGCACAGGAAACATGTACAATGATCCTTTTCTGAGAAGTATGGGTTACTGGATTTTGGAAGACTATAGCAAGGCTCTTGACACTTTGATTAAACATTCTTTTGAAGATGAAGGAGGTAAGAATAAATATTTTGGCTGTTAGGCTGGTTTTAACTATTTATGCATTTAAAGAGTATTTTCTTAGGTACAATCTAAATGTGGCTGGGGTGCTGCACCGGTTTGCTCACCACCAGGCATGACAAGCTCTATACCATCCGGAAGATTCCTGGAACTTAGAGAAGATAGTTTCCTGAGCCAGGTAATAGACAGCCCCACTAGGGGTGATGCAGTGGTGGCACCTGTTACTCACCAGTGGAAATGGACTGATTAGTGACATCAGGGTAGGATGCTGACTGTGCAGTGGTGAAACTCGCACTCCTGAGGAATATGGGCAGGTAAAGAATAAAAGGAAGCTTAATTCTAGGAAAGCCAGCTTCTAACTCCGCAGGGAGTTAGTCAACAAAATCCCCTGGGAATCCGTCCTCAAGGACAAGGATTGTGTCCCCAGCGGAGTGGGGCTGGCAGATGTTTAAGGAAGACTTCCTTAGAGCACAAGAGCTCTCCATCCCCAGGTGCAGAAAGTCAGGAAAGGAGGACAAGAGACCAGTGTGGCTGAACTGAGATCTGCTGGTGAAACAAGAACAAGCAAGAACAAAATGCACAGTTTCTTCATCAGTGGAAGATGTGGCAGAGTAACCTGGGTGAAATATAGGGATAATACAGGGATGCTGCTAGGCTGTACAGGGATGGAATCAGGAAGGACTTGGCAAAAGGTGCAAAGAAGGATAGGAAAGGTGTCTATAAGTACATCAGCCGGAAAAGGCTAGTCCCATTAATTCCTGAGTTTAGTATTCTCAACATTAAATGTTTCAAGACAGTTAAAATGATAGCTGGCTTATATTCGGGTTAATGAGAGGAAGTTGATAAATGAAGACTCAGTCCCTAGAGCTGTGGAAATTGATGTATAAACTGATTCCAGTAGGAGCACAATACTTCAAGATGATTTTGAGAGATGAGTGATACATTGTTCAGTTGTTTAGATCTTGGTCACATGCTTCTGTGTTAAATCATTTTAAAATGGTACTTCTTTATTGATTTAGATAAATTTATCAATTTAGAGTCTTCCATGTGTTATTTTGCATTGTCGTCTTAAGAGCTAATCTTCTTACACCTGGTTCCTGTTATCTGTAGTTTTATTGTCATAACTTCTTGTAGCAGAAACAAGTATATTATCTCAGCTAATATAGGACAATTCACAACTTTTTTTTTTTTTTTTCTGTACTGGTTGCTCCTTATATTTCAGTGTTTTTCTAAAATCTTTTCATACATGGTGCAAGTTGGTAACTGAATTATATAAGCTTGTTGTGGTTTTGAACGTGAAATCTGTAGAGGCTTCATTCATGCATCATAAATTTATTGAATGCAGTACTGATATGAATATATGTAAGTGTTATGGATTCCCTGTTGGGATTCCTTTAAGTTGCGTTTTGTTGAGAAGCACACAAATTAAAAATGCTAATCCAAAATTTGCTGAAGGATGTTAAGTTAAAAAAAATTCTTAGGAAGCTGGAGGATCTTAATGTCTCTTAGTACTGGAAGCTTTAGAAATTGAAGCTATCAGCAAGAATGTGTTCTCCTTTAACTGCAGGAGAACAGGCCTACTTCCAAGGAAAATAAATGAATACTTATTATATACTCTCACTCAGTCTTCTGTCTTTAGCGGTGATTAAATTTCCTCCCTACCTTCTCACGTATTGAAATGATGATGATGAAAGATTACTTTAATGAAGTCAACAACAGAATGAATATTAAGACCTAACAGTCTTCTGTTGAACTACAGACTTTTGAGATGTTATTTCTTACTGAACTGTAGATTTGTCCTCATGATGCAATATCTTTTCAGATGTAGGAGATGGCTCAGCAAGCTGTAATCCTGCAGTGTTTAACTTTTACAACTACTTAAGAACACATCCTCTCCTTCTGAGACGTCATTTTGGCTCTTCTGATGCCTCTTCCACACACATGTGCCTAACAGTGGAAAATGGATTAGCTGACAAAATCAACCTAGATGAAAGGCGACTTTTCTTCACCACTGCATATGCTCATTTAAAAGCTGGTTGTCCTATGTTGGCCTTAGAAGTGTTATCAAAGATGCCCAAGGTTGTCAAGAGGTCAAAGCCATTCTGTAGATCCCCCAGCTTAATGGATACTAGTAAAGATTTCTCACCGTCTTCTCCTCTTAAAGAGTTGGAAATAAAAGATGAGTCTTCCAGTATTGATTGGTCACAGCCAGCTTTGAATGATCTAGGGTCATCTTCAGACTGCTCATCAGGAAAACATTCGAATTCAACTCTTTCATTTGACTGGAGCCAACCAAATATAGTATTCCAAGACGACGAAGGCTTGAAGCTACAGTTGGACAGTGATGAAGGTGATGAGAATGAAGATTCTTCCCTGGTAATGAAAGAACTAAAACCTCTGAAGAAAAATGAAAAATCCTATGAAACAAGTTCTAGCTACACGGAATCTTTTAGCGTAGTTGATGAAAAAGATATTCTAAGTCCATCAGAAGATATAATTTCTGCACAGCTGAAGTTTAGAGCATGCCTGAAAATTCTTACGGTAGAGCTTCGTACGTTGTCCACTGGTTGTGAGGTAGATGGTGGAAAATTGAGGTATCAGCTTTATCAGTGGCTTGAAAGGGAAGTGATAGCTCTTCAAAAAACCTGTGATTATAGTGTTGAAATAGATGAAATGCAGTCTGGAGTTAGCATGATGCCAGAGGAAGCTGCATTACATGGAAACACTGTAGACTTGACTGACCAGCAAAAAAACATGCTGCAGAAAGGAAACTTTCAGAAAAGACGTCAGTGGCTTCTGAAATACCAGTCTCTCCTAAGAATGTTCCTTAGTTACTGTGTTCTCCATGGCTCTCACGGTGGTGGTTTGGCATCTGTCAGAATGGAGTTAATTCTGCTGTTGCAGGAATCTCAGCAGGTATGTGGGGAGTTTGATTTGTGAGTTCTCCACTTTGGGTTGGTTGTAGGTTTTTGAACATTTCGTATTTTAATTCAGATTTTCCTATTATAGTATATACCTGTTTTATTATAAATGTGACACTTTGCATTCTATAAGGTAGAGGTTTCCTGAAAAGTAAAATAAAACAAAACAGAAACTGTACTGCTGTGTGTGTTTAAGTGTGTTTCTCACTTGTTTTTAGGAACAGTCAATACAGATACCATCCAGCCCTGTTCTAGAGCAAAGCTCCGTACCTCTCCTATTTGCTTGCACAGCTAGTGCCAAAACAGTGGTGGCTAATCCACTGTTACATCTTGGTAACTTGACTCATGATATCTTACATGCCATAATAAACCTTGATTCACCGCCTCATCCAGATACACAGAATAATAAGGTGTGGGTCGTCTTTTTTTGTCTTTATTTGTTATTTTCATTGACCAGTCTGCATGAATGTTTTTCTGACTGTATAAAAACTTCCTAATGTACCTTCCTGATATGTAACAAAATCATGGAACTTAAATATTTTATCCTGTAATACTAGTGTTGGGCTGAAAGAGAGAAGCCCATCTACTTCAGTTACACTTTCACAACTAGATATTTGTCTGAGATAGTATCTGTTATGGAAAACACCACCAGTGTCACTGTTGGCTTTACTAAATACAATCATAATTTCTGTTATTTTAATGGTAAGCTATCTTCAATCCTACACAAGTAAAATTAAATTTAGAAGTATAAAAATTGGTCTGCAGAGTGTAGAAAACGTTAAAGAAACATTTCCGTCAAGCAATATTTATTTCTAACAGTAAAATGTTATTTATTTATCTTTCCGTAAGATTTCTAGTATAGTTAGGCTGGGAGTGGGGATAAGATCTGAAGTTTAGGTTAAACCTTTCCTGCCATTTTGTATGCGTTAGGTTTTACTGTGGATATATAGAGAGTGCTCCAGAGATTGATTTCTTAGTTCCTATTCTGATTTCAGAGGATACAGATAAATATCTGTTTTAATTTTTATGAATACTTAGGTGTGTCTTATGGTACATGAAATATGTATCAGTTATGAGGGAAAAAACTCATGTTCAGTATGATACTGAGTAAATTGTGTCTGAGAACTGTACAAATGTGTTCAACAACTAAGGTGCATTATAGTCTTCATTATGAAGCATGGCATCTTTAATTCTGAGCCAACATGCTGTCTTAGGGTGTAATCAAGCAATGCAGCTAAAATTGAGCTGTGACTGTGGGTAGTTTGGGTTATGTGAGTGCTTTCCAAAGTGAGTTGAAATTAATTTTTGTGAGGCCTTTGTTAGTGATTTTGCCTTCAGTGCTTGCATCTTCTACATGAGTGCCCCTTTTACAAACCTGTATGCGTTAAATACAATGATACTAACCACAGTTTATCTTGAGTGTGATACATGCTATAAAATTTTATCTTCCAGATATATGTAATGCATAACTTAGCAGCATCACTTTCGGCTTGCATCTACCAATGTCTTTGTGATGGCCACAGTTACAGGTAAGGTCTTTGAAAAACACTTTTTAGAGAAAAGATTGATTCACTGTGATGATTGTGCAATACGCAGAGCACGTGCAGGCAGTACTGACATCTGCCTATGTTCAGTAAAGGCTATAACATGAATAATTTTAAACCAAACAGGTGAGTTTTTTTGTTTGTTGGTTTTAATACAACATTGTGTTTTACAGCTCATTTCAAGCAAATCAGTTTACTGGGACAGTTTATCAGACAGTGCTGTTAACTCAGCGCGATTCTCTAAGATCAACCTTGGAAGAAACAGTGACTCCCAATACACCACCAGCTCAGTGGCCAGGTAGGTCTTTGTTTCTTTCCTCTTCTGAAAAAATGTGGGGATGCACTGTAAGAGCATGTAAATATGCTCTAGAATTTCTAATAGTGTATATAACGCAATACTGGTAGAAGTGAGTTATTAAAGTTTATCTTCAGTTATTCCCTGACTTGACTGATACTGCTTTCTCTTACTAAAAATTGCTAGCTGGGTCTTTCAGTAAAGAGCCAATAGAAGTACAGTAAACCGTTGTAGAGCACAGGCTCTGCTTTCTCTCGCTGCAGCCAGCTCTTCGGTCTCACTATTGTTCTGCTTTCTTATCTTTTAAAGCTATTTTCATATGTTTCTTTGTGCTCCACTTCAGAATGACTGCAGCTTTGATCCAGCTATTGAGCTAACTCAAAATTGTTGAAAATGGGAAGTTTTTAACATATTATATTCTGCTGCAGCTCTGAAACCTGTTTAGCTCTTGCTGGGGTGAAGCTACACTGGTCTCTTTACAGGGTGTGTAAGCTACATATAATTGATCTTACGAGCATCAGTTGACAACAGTAACTTCAATTTGAGCATAACCAAGAAATATATTTACATATCATAAGTTTTGTTTTCCTAACAAAAACTTCAAAGAAACATTCAAGAAATCTTTCTGAGAACCTCAAGCAGTTATTGTGTTTGGATATTAGGCTGTAGAATGCAGCAATACTAGGATGTCGCTGTCTCTTGGACTTTTCAGTTTCTTCTGAAGCAGAATTTTTAACATGTGCACATTCAGCTTTTGGGGTATTTTTGTATTTCAACAGGAATAACAGCTCTAGTACGTCTCTTGAATTCTGCTGGTGAGGAAGCTCAGCCAGGACTCACAGTCTTACTTTGTGAAATTCTAACTGCAGTCTATCTGAGTCTCTTCATCCATGGCCTAGCAACACATTCCAGCAGTGAGTTGTATAGAGTTATGACTCACCCACTTAACAACAAAATGTGGTCTGCAATCTTTGGAGGAGGAGCTCATACACCTATCAAAGGACAGCAGCAATTGAAGACAAAAACTGGTATGTCTTTTTTTGGAGGGATAGGTGGGGGAGCTGGGTTTTTGTTGTTGGAAGATGTTTTTACTGCTGAAAGCTTAAGACTAATTTCATTAAAGTCTATGTTCAATAGTGATTAAATCTGCAAATTAAAATAATCTGAAATTCTTAACAGATATTCTGCAGAAGAGAGTGGGAAGCAGAAAAGCAGGTGTGGTATTTAGTGTTACTAGTTTTTAGTTAGTACAACTGCTGTAATATGACAGAGTTGCATTCATTTTAAAGAGAAGATTTTCAATTCAATTAAAACCTAGTTTTTAATATTCATTTTAAAGCTTTCCAGTTCTGTCCTAACAATAATATATTCCCATCTTACAGACACAATGTGTTTTCTCTCTTTGGCAGGTAGGCACTTCCCAATGCCTAGCCCACATCAGGTAGTAGTGTTCTCCATGGAATGCGTGGGGTTTTCGAAATCCCTTACTACCTTCAGTACTCATAGTCCTACCAAGTCTGCAGGCAAGATAATAGATTTAGTACTAGGCCTCTACATGCAGTTTGCTATGTGTGGGTTTTTTTTTTTGTTTTTGTTTTTTTTTTCTGGTTTTTTTTTTGCATATATAGAAAGAGAGAAAAACTTCTGTTTACAAGCCATGACATCAAAATTTAAAGCCATGTTCTGTAATTTCAGCAGCAGTTCAATCAGGCCTTTTTATCAAGAAATTTGCTAGTGCTGTAGTACTTAACTGTACTTCCTTTGAAATAAGTTTTGAATATTTTTTTTCCATGGTTTGAAGTGATCAGAAGTGTTTCATATCTTTTAGAGAGCTGCTTGTTTTGCTTCATGAACATAAGCATTATTATGCATGTGGATTTCTAAGTTTTCATTCTAAACACTGCAAAGAAAAGGTGCCTTGCTTCTATTCAATTCTGAATTCAATTTTCAGAGCACTTTACTTTTAAATTCTTCAGGTTTAAATTCAGAAAACTATCCACAATGAATTTTGTAGGTTTTTTGTACACATTTCTGCTTTCTAACTCAATTGCTCATACTCCAACTATCATACAGATATCTAACATTAAAAGAAAACAACAAAGAAGGAATGCTTAATAAATATGAATTCTCTTGAAATATGGTGGCTTCTTACATCACATCTGAATATATATGCATTTATATATAATATACCTTGTAATATCTATAATATAATATCTATAATATATAATATCTATAACTTGTATTGTAATTGTTGCTATTATACTACATATAAAAACACAAAACGTTCATTTGAGGAAAATGGATGTTTAAATACCAATTTCCAGGTGTTTAGAAAAGTACTTACAGGGTAGAGATTCTCATTTTCTATCTATCACAGTTTTCTCTGTGGCTTTTTGTTAAATATATTTGCCCAATCAGTATTGCATAATTAGAAGATATACCTGGTTTTTGTTGGCAGTGTCTTAGGTGCTGGTAACTGTATGCTGAAGTTTGATAATGCTGTTGTTCCTGTTTTAAAATTAATCTATTTGTCTTAACGTAGTGAGATACTGAAGGCTACTTCTGTCCTGTCTGCAGCATGTTTTTCTTATAAATGAATGATGACTGACTGCAGGATTAATAAAACTGTTGCTAGAAGAGACAAGAATCAAACATTGAAAACTTAATGAAATAATAATTGGCAGAGATGATCAAACACTAGTCAAAAGACCTAATAGGGCTGTGGTATCTTGGAGCTATTGAACACTTGGATAAACAGTGCTGTAAGCAGCTTGACCTAACCAGCTTTGTTTTGAACATGGGCCTCCAGAGGTCTGTTACAGCCTATGTGGTAGGTAATTGAGGGTTTGTTCATTTATTCTTCCTCTTTGAAGCAAAGGAGTCAGGTTATAATCAGCTATGTTTTTGTACCTTTACTGAAAATACATGCTGGCACTCAGCAATGAACACTGAGTAGCATGTCATTTAGACGTGATACAGAGTTATGCACAACTAGAGCAGTTTTTATGTGTTCACTTTTAGATCTTTGTGACAGATTTTCACTTTCAGATGGAGATGAAAAGCCAAAAATTTTTGATGTTAAGAATTCTGATAGGTTAATAATACAAAATTGTCTGGTTGTACAGGGTCCTGCATTGGCCCTTACTCCGTTTCATCAATTCTGCTGCACTTCAATCTGAATGTGGTTGTCAATCTACAAATTTGAAACCTGTTTAAGAGAATAATAGTAATATGTAATAGTAACGTGTACTTAATTGGCCAATAAAGTTGTCACTACGCTTGCTGCCCCTTGTTTAAATTGATTTATGCGTACAGTCAGCTTCAGGATGTTTTCTTCCAATTAAATATATCTCATTGGGTTTTTTACTTCTATTTCTAGAACTTTTAAGATACTTCAGACACAAAGGAAACCAAATAATAGGTCTGTCTTCTATTCGGAATTAGTTTGTATGAAAAATTTGCTTTATTTCTTTCACAGTAAAGATCAGAAAAAGCAATAGCAGTTTGAATACTTGTGGAGTTTCTTCACATATACTTTTCAGCCACATTTCTTGTTCCTGTAGCAAATGATTTTGACTGTATTATATTAGCATCTGAGAATTTCTGTTCCTATTTATGTATTAAAATAGTGGATATATCATGTTTTCTAAGGTGCAGTTAACATCTGAAAAATAATCCTATTGCTTTTGAAATCTTATTTTCCACGTAGTTTTTCTTCAAAACTGCCTCAAAACATTGTGTGACTTAAGTCTATATAGAGATGGTAAGTTTTCTAAAATCCAGGGGTTTCCTAAAGAAAAGTTTTAATTTTTTCTTTAGAAATTCATAGTTTAATTTCATATATTCAATTTTTCTATATTGTAAGAGTGCACTAAATCTTTTTCCAAACTGAGTATTTTGCAAGCACAATTGATAGAATTAAAGTAGCTATTTTAACTGTCAGAAATCTACAGACATGTGACTGTTATAAGAAGTAATTTTCTCTGCTGCTGATGCTAATGCTTTGAGCAATTAAAGTTGGAGTAGAAATGTGATTCCTGACTTCTTCGGTAGTTGTACTTCTATAGGAAAGAAGGGTAAACTCTTGATTTGCTGTGATAACTTGACTGACATACAGCAGGTTTTGTGAAACAGGTTAATAACGAGGACATGCAGATAAAAAATTTGTGCAGTTTGACTGTGATAGGATAAGAGAGAATGGCCTTTATGGGGAAATTGTTCCAGTGAAGTTGTGAATGCCCCATCCCTGGAGGTGTTCAAGGCCAGTTTGGATAGGCACTGGGCAGCATGATCTAGTGGATGGCAATCTTGCCTGTGGTGGGGAGTTGAAACTACATTGGCTTTATGGTCTCATCCAACCAAGCCATTCTGTGATCAGATAATAAATTTCATCAGCAGGTCACAGACAACGCTGAATGTCTTCAGTTTTATACTTTATATCTAGGAATGGCTTCATCTTAGAATAGGTAAAAAAATTACTCAAGTTTTACTACCTTCCAGGTTGTGTAAGGGCCTACAACACCCATACTAAACTTGTAATTCAGAATTGCCTGTTATGTTGTTAGTAATGGAAATGTTGATCTGAATGTGTTTCATTCTAGCTAAGTAGTTGAGTCTGCAATATTAGGTTTGTTTTTATGCTGCTTTGGATTACTGAGTGTTTCATTATTTGTGTGGCTTTTTGTTCTGTTTGTTGTCTTGCTGTTTCTAACTTATTGTTTCTAACTTATTCTTAGTTCAGCCACCTGTTAAAGCAGAAGTTTGTTGTGAAGTTTGCATTAAGATGGATGGCTCCCTTAGATGATTATAACAGGAAAGGTCTACAAAATGTGTGTATGTCACACATCTCTTTATTGTGCCCATCAAAATTTTTTCAGACATTTGTGCTTACTGTTTATTGAAGTGACCATATTTAAAGTGCCACATTATTTACATAATATCTTCAGAAATATCTGAGGGATTAATACATATTTGCTTTCAACTTTTCAATTAATTGTTATGCATAAAGTAGTGCAAAAATACAAAAAGGTATGCAGTCTTAAGTATGTGTACTAATTGTATTTATTATTAATAATACAAAATAGCTCGATTATTAGAATCCCGTAGAACTGTATAGGTATTGCTACTGTCAAGTGCTGATTCATTAATTTATCAACTTGGACTTACATGTCTGAAGTCATGTAGGCCAGAGCTGTTATCCTTGAGGAAGCAGAATATAATGGTGAGAATGTTAGAGCTTGTAACACTGCAAAGTGCAAATTTGTTCCTAGTTTTGAAGACAACAAAATTTATCACTGTAGACTATCACTAGCCTGCTCTTGAAGTTGACATTTCCAGCTTCCTAGAGAGTTACAAGAATCTGCAAGTGGCTTTATGCTTAAGAAGATAGCGAAAGGATGGATACCAGTTTTCTTGCCAGTTCACCTTCTTTGGGTTTTGGCAGTGCTGATATTAGTTGTTCCTGCAGTCAAAGTTGATGCTTTTTTTAAAATACAGAGATGTTTTGATTTTAAGACTTGTTTTTTTTATAGTGTGCTGGGGTATTGATGCTTGATGCATGCACACAGTCTTTAATAAAGTGCACTATCTCTGACTCGCACATTAGATTAATTTTCAGATATTGAAAGAGATCTTCATCTTAGCTCTTCCTGGAGAGATGGAAAGGGGGTCTCATCGGCAACAGGTCTTCTGAATATCGTTTCACATGTTAGATCTTTGCAAAAGTAAAAGCATTTTACTTTTTGAATATAATCCAACTTTTTTGAAAATACGCTTTATTTGTGGTGAAGATGAAGATAAATATTTCAAATCAAGAAAGCATTTAAATTATTTTTTGGTAGTATTGCACAAGAAATTTGAAAGCAGGTTTAACTTGTGATCTGAAATTACAAATGTCAAAGACTTTTAATGACTATGTTGGTTTACTTAAATGCCTTTATAATGCAAAGAAATGAGGAAAAAGGAAGATTGGCATCAGTTCTAAGTTTTTCTAGCCATTAGGATGGTTGTAATTCATTTTCCTTAAATATTCCAATGAGCAGCCAGTAGTAGTCTTAAAAATATGAAGAATTATCCTACAGAGTGGAAAGAACGCTGTTCTAAAGTAAAGCATTCACTTTTTGGAGTCCACATTGAATAACAGCCTGCAAGCGTATACTTGTTTATTTCTATAGCATGCAACACTTGCTCCTTATCTTTATGCCAAATGAGTTTTTCTTTTTTTTTTTTAAAGCAATTGCTAACATTTCATACATAGTAATGCATGTACGTGCTCTTTGTCAGCTGATGAGCTTTTTTAAATAATGGTATGAAAATGCATTGTACTGCAGCTGTTATGCTTCCTTTTAATACAGGTAAGTGGATTTCAAATAATATCTCTTACAGGATGGTACAGTACAATATACTAGGATCACACAGGCTGTTAAAATACGCCACAATATCAAGTTGATGCTGAAAGATGAGATAATGCCTTCAGCTTTTGTTAGGCAGTGTAAGGTACATAAGTTATTTTAGACTTACGCTGAAGCTATTTTTAAATTGTCTTGAATCTTACTTTCCTCAAAGTTGGTTTAGTTTCTATTACCTTAAGTTTCATATCTGGAATATTTAACTGATCCTAAAAGCAATTATTTTTCTCCATTGTGCAAGACATTGTTTTGTAGTGATTGGAGTACCCATTATAGTTTTGAAGGAATTAATCTTTCAGGCATATATCAAGACTCTGAAGTCCCCTTTGGGGGAAAAAAAAATTAAAACGAAACAAAAGGAATAGGAAATAGGTGTTGGTTTTTTTTTTTTGTTTGTTTTGTTTTGTTTGTAATAGCTTCTTCCAGACATGCAGAAGGATGTTTATGAGCTATCTCCAACATTATTAACAGGAGGAAGTAATTTTAGAAGCTTCTATAGAAATTAGTATTATGGCTCTAGAAAGCAGAAGGGAATAATAAAGGAAGTTACTACATCAAGCACCATTTATGGTTGTGATGTTCATTTTAGCATATCCTAGGAAACAACTCTGGTCCAACATGTTGATGCTTGTAGTCAGTGATAAGGATTTCTGATCACCCTGACAGCTTTTTAATCCTTGTGTGTGTCCAGACTTTGTTCTGGGTAGTTGAACAAGAAATAAACTGAAGTGGGAGGAAGTGAATGGGTGCTTAAGTGCTGTGGTTCTTCTCAGTGATATTATAATTTTTAAATCTTACCTGGAAAAAAGAGATTTAAAAATGCTTACGGAAAAGATAAATGTTTAATGTCCAGTAAATAGATGTTGAAAGTTTGGGGAACATCAGAAGGCAGTTCAAAAATTATCTCTCTCCATCGTAATATTTTAACTTTCTCCATGTAATCAAAAATTAAAAGCAAAATTTACAAGTAGTAAATGGATTTGAGTCCATTGTATCTCTAACTGAAGATGAATGAAGGCCTCCTTGTTACATCTCCATGATTCTTCTCTCCTGCCTTTCTCTAGTTACGTTTTTTAGAGCCAGAACACTTAATTGCCCAAAGCCACTGACAGCCTGTAACATTCTTTTTCTATCAAATAAACTGAAAACAATTCACCTACCAAGAAGCAGAATGATTTCAGGTTATTAGATGGTTTTGTTGGCTTCTTTTTAAGCAAGCTATTACTACTAATGTGTTTTTTGAAGTTGGTCTTGCTATTAAGAAGTAGGAAGACTGAAACAAAACTTGTTCGCTTATTTCTGGTAAACCGGGTTAACATTTCTGTGATAGTCTGCATAAGCTGTTGCTTTGAGTACTGCAGTCTTTGAGAATGAAGGTCTCTAACAAAATATCTCTTAGATGCTGCTTATTATGATTAAAGTAAATCTTGCAGAATTGAAATTTGGACTAGAAATTGCAAGCTTAAGCATTTTCACTACTGATTCTGAAAGACAAAATTATTGCCTTTAAAAAAACCAGACAACTAGCAGACAACAACAAAAAATTCTGCATAGATCAATATTGAGCAGTACATACTGAGTTTATCTATTTTTGCATCATGACCTGAGCCATTATGTTTGTTATCTTTGCTGAAGGTTAAAAGCTTCATAATCTGCTGTGCTGTATTTTTTGTACTGTGGGCTGTCCCTTTCCGGCATTCTAGTTTTTCATTAGTTGTGCGTGTTTGAGGATTGGCATTATCTATGCTCATTTGCTACAGAAATAAAGTAACTTCTGAAGGCTTTTGTAATGAGGGAGCTTTCTTCTTTCTGTTAAGAAGCCCATTACTAAAAGTGGCAGGTGGAGCAGACAGTTCTAAGCAGTTTGCTTTCTTCCCCTTTAGATGATGGAGAGAAACAGCAAAAATGTTTCAATCTTTCATCAACAACCTCTCCGAAAGAGAGTTCTCGGGCAGCTGCCGTGCCATGGTTAGACCAAGAATCTCCATCTTACAAAGAAAGATTTATTCCTCCTGAGCTTAGTATTTGGGATTATTTCATTGCCAAGGTAATTGTTTGCTATTTCAAAAGTCTTATATTGCTCCTGTGATAGTATTTTCTGCTTAGTCTTTATCCCAGGTGCCAATTTAGATGTGTAGTAAAAGCCACCTATTGTTACTACTTGTGATTTTAATACTGTTGTGACATCGGTTTTTTCTCATACTGTGTTATGAACAAAAGTAACGTTGCTATAGAGTACAAATGTGTAAGGAAACATGAGTTAGCTGTTCAGAATGGAAATGTGACAATCACAAACTGCAGAATGATTAAGATTGGCAGGGACCTCTGGATCCATCTGGTCCAACGAAGCAGGGACTCGTACAGCAGGATGCCCTGGACCACATCTAAGCAGCTTTTGAAAATCTTCAAGGAGGGAGTCTCCTCTGCCTCTATGGGCCACCCCTGATCTTGCTTCATCACTTGCACAGTGAAAAAGTGCTTTCTGGTGTTCAGGCAGAACATCCTGTGTTCCAGTTTGTGCCCACTGCCACTTGTCCTGGGTTTAGATGCCACTGAAAATCTCCTGGCTCCATCCTTTTTGAACCTTTCTGTCAGGTATTCCTGACAGATATTATAGAGTATTCCTAGGGTATTATAGATGCAGCAGATCTCCCCTGAGTCTTCTCTTCTCCAGACTGAATAGTCCATGCTCTCTCAGCCTTCCATCATGGAAGAGATGCTTAAGCCTCTTGATCATCTTTGTGGCACTTTCTGTTATCTCCGTGGGTGAAATGGACTTGTTTACTTAATAGAAGTCAAGTAACATTGCCTTGTGTTATGTCTGCTATCTGAGGTCTTTCTGTGTAGAAGACTACATAACAGTGTGATTCATTTCTGTTAGCTGTATTAGCAAAATAAATATATTAGCCGTGCTTCAGGAAGAAGGGCCAACAAGAAATCACAAATACCAAATAACACACTGAGGTGCTGGGCTTGTCCTAAGTATTGAAATCTGTAAGCAGAGGATAGGATGTTTTTATGTAGAATAAGATGGCATACTTGCTATTTTATAAAATATTAAATGTTATAGTGATTTATTTTTAAAAACATAATGTAAAACTAAATGTTGGCTGGGAGATACTTAAGGAACGTTGTGTATTTTTAGCCTTTTCTTCCATCACAAAGTAGAGTGGAGTATGACTCAGAAGAGAGTCAAGAAAGTGGTGAAGATGATGATGATATTGATGGAGACGCGTTTGCAGCGAATTCAAATAATCAAGAGCATTTGAATGCTAATTCATACAGGTGAATAGCTTTTTTAGAATGTAAGTTGCTCTACAGTGATTAAATATGCATTTTTGGCCGTTTATTGTTAAGAGCATACACCTGTTACTTGGTATTTTCTGGGAGTGTGTTATCTAAGTCAATTTTTCAGTGATTAGTTTACTACCTAATACATTCTATAGTGGCCTTTAAGTTCAAAATATGTATAATATCCTAAAACATTGTGATTATGCATAGTTTATTGTAAGGATATAAGGCTTTGAGAAATCCTAACTATTAATGCATTAAAAAAATTCCTATCAGTAAATGACTTTTTAGTGTTTTCTTACTAGTTGGTCACTGATGCGATTGGCCATGGTTCAACTGGTACTTAACAACTTGAAGATTTTCTACCCTTTGGCTGGACACGATCTTTCAGGTAAAAAGCAGCAATCGTCTTTTTATATTTAATATTAGTTATGTGTTGAGTATTAAATATGTTCTATTTTTAGTCTAAAAGTTCTTATTTTTTTTCACAGTCTCTGATTAAATTGTTTTGATACTTCCTGTCATGATGTTATATATGGGTGAAAAAGGGAGCTCAGTGTTTAGCAGGAATCTGTGCATATTTGTTCTTTTCTATGCCTCTTAGTCATGCAAAGTGCTTACAATATTTTTCTTAGTGGAAAAGTTAATTTTTTTTGTAATTCAAGTTGCATAATTTCTACTCCTTGTTTAATTTACATTAGCCTTGAGGAAGGCTATACTTTATCTAGCAGTGTTATCACAAAGTTATCTTTTTATACCTGGAAACATCAGAATGAGCTTTCAGTAAAGACTGCTTTTGGACATACTTGAAATAAGCTTAAGTATTCAGCTATGGATTGTCTATATAAAGCTTGTAAAGGAGCATTACGTTTTTCATTATTGTTTACTCATCTGTCTAGAGCTTCCAGTTAGCTCACCAGTATGCCATGCAGTTCTGAAAACACTACAGCGCTGGGAACAAGTTCTTCTCCGACGTCTTGAGCTATATGGTGGTCCACCTCAACATTATATTTCAGTTCATGCTTCTGAGGATGCCCTAGCTGCTGGTCCTGCATTGCTTCGCCATAAAACTTTGCTTGAGCCTGCAAACACTCCATTCAGGCAAGGCTAACTTTTATAAATGCTGAGTGATGTAGTAAACATGAACCAAATATTACGTAGTCAGTGCATGTGACTCAACTTCAGTTGCAGTGTCATGCTAATTTCTGCATCTGCTGTAATCCCTTCTGAAATTATGGGTACAAATCAGAATCTATGCAAGCCTGATCCAACACAAGCATAGAAAAAGCAGGCAGAGTTTCTAATTTTCTTTTCTAACTAGTTACTATGTAGAATAACTCTGATTAACATTAAAATAAGGAACACCAAATTTGCCCTAAGAGATGGTTTTTACAGATGAACGACAATTAAAATTTAATTCAATTACTAAATAATTGTCCTACCATTGGAAGGAATAAAATTATCAGTATCTTCTAGGTTTAAATAAATATTTATTATAATTGTGTAGTTGTATAGCCCATATGCAATATATTCTGTCAGAAGACTGTTCTCAGTTTCTTGAATAGTCTCTTTCTATATAGATCCCTGCTGCCTCAATTTTACTTTCACCTTTATTTTCAGAATTGACAGTCTGGTTGTTTATTGTGGAGCACTTGCTGCTTGTCTGAAGCTTCACTTCAGTGACTTGAGTTGATGTGCTCTCTGGCATTATTTTAAAATCATGATTTAAACTTACTGAAGGCTTCATGGGCTTGGCCTGCCATAAGCAACTCTATTTGTATTTACAAGTTTTACTTTGCTGTACAGTTTCCAGAGATGAACATCGTGTTTGAAGACAGATCAGAGTTACAATCCTTCTGATTTTCTTTTTTAACTAAAACATCATGGACCTTTCAGGTTATTAATATGTTCCTAGAACAGAGTGTTGGTCGTTCATTGTTCTTGTATTAGAAGCACTAATTGTCAATAAGCAGAAAGGATCCGTATTACGAAGAATTGAGTGGAATTATCGCGATGTCTCAAGAATAAACAAGATGTGAATATTTATTTTAACTTTGCTCTGTAGATCTAACAGTCATGTTGCCTTATCTGTGAAGAGGCTCTGGCAGTACTTGGTTAAACAGGAAGAAGTCCAGGAAACCTTTATCAGAAATATTTTTACAAAGAGGCGATGCTTAAATGAGGTTGGTATGGCATTTGGGGTATGCAGTATTTTTTAGGTTAATTTACAAGGTTTTAGTGAACTTACCTGGCTGGCCTGGGTGCTTTCTGGAGCATTAATGAATGCTTGTCTATGACTCTAAATCTGCAGCATTTCTTACTACAAGATGTGTTTCTATTGTTTCAATGAAAACAGTAACAATCGATCTTTGATTGTATACTGACTGTGAAAGTACCTTCTTTGGTAGGTTAAACAGTAAGGATTTAAGGATTTCCTTGGTACCTAGCATATTATGTCTTACCTTTACTCTTCCTTCTCTGCTTGTTCTTTCCTTGGTGAAGTCATTAGAGGACCATAGTGACACCTTGAAAAACTCTGTGGTGGAGGAGCCCATCGTCAATAAGGTACAAAGGCCCAATGCTCAAATTAATTGGACCATACACTGTTACAAAATCTTTCCTTTTCAAAATAGTGCTGGTATGCCTTAAAACAAATTACTGACACAGCAAAAGAACTGAAGAAATCTGTTTTAAAAGAGATTGAATTGTACTGGTTATCTTAAATTTGGTTTCTAATGAGCTTTATATTGTAAAAAGCAAGATGAAACAGCCAAGTAAGAACAGTACATATTATTAAATTACATAGCTATGTCAAATGAAGTGCTGAGGTTGTGAATTTTCCAAGTGACTTGAAAAATTCCTTAGCAGTGTGGGAAGGAGTACACAGTTTTTTTTATCTGTGGCTAGGTAACTCAGAAGCAACAATGGTAAACTGGAAATTAAACCTTATCTATTAGCATAATCATAGTTTGAGATTGAGAACTTCTGATGAGTCTTAGTTTCAAGATGGCAATAAATGAGACCATTTAAGTTTCCTTGAAGACAAGCGCAAGAGACTAAGAAGTTATAATACTGTGCCTTCAAATACCATTAGAAATCCTGTGTTCTTAAGGTTTTCTCATAGAAAAAAACAGTGACAACAAAAATGAGAACATCCTGTGATGTCCTTAGGCTGTCTTGTTATGATTGTTTATATGGTAAAACAGCGTAAGTAAGCAAATCATTGCAACTGAAAGAGAACCGCATTTTTTGAAAATATGCTCACTACATAAAACAGGTTTTTGGACCTGTTTATAACTGCAATTTTGTGCGATTTTATGTATGTAAGATGACCAGAATATTGATTTTTATTTCTTATGATAAGATATACTACTGTATGGTATAAAACAGCTACTGCTCTCTCTGAAACCTTGAAAAAGATTATTTGCAGTTCTTTGACAGCACTGTCTTCTACTGTTTTTCATATGAAATATCCAAGAGTAAATCTTTTTAAGATCAGTGAAGAAAGAAAATGAGTAGTAAGTAGTTCTGAAATAATTCTGTTTCTTTTTGGAGAAAGTACAAAGTCTTATGTTAGTGATTGAGGCTTGCATTTTTGTTGCCACCTCTCCGTTTGTGTTTGGCATTACCTTTTTAACTTTTTACTAAAACAGCCATCGGTTATCACTTGACACCTCCAAGTGTTCGAGCCTCACAGTTTTTCAGCATCCCTGAAAAACCTGAGAATGAACATGGTATTTACTTATGTTAAGTCTTTTTAGTATTGCTTGGGGAATCTCAGTGTGGAAATAGGAAGCTAAATTACTGCACACAGACAAGATTTACTGTAATAATCACAAGCGACTGTCATAATTTTTTTAGAATTAAAACTGAGGAAAAAATAGGAAAATTCATAGGATGTAGAGCTTAGTCTTCAGAATTCCAGTAAAAAAGCAATATTGTGTAGATATTTTTTTGTTTTTTTTTTTTTTGGTACTTAAATATGCTTTACTTTTTAAATACAGGTAGAAACAGATTTAGGATACCCAGGAGGCAAGGCAAGAATAATTCACAAAGAGTCTGACATCATTACTGCTTTTGCAGTCAATAAGGTGAGTATAAAGGAGGTGGGAGAATCTGATTAATCTATTTCTGTTGATCTTCTACTTGTTGACCTCGTGGGTAGTGTGAATGTTCTTTGCAAGCTATCCTGATACAGCCTGAATTCTTAGTGCTCCCTTCTCTGAAGCAGTTCATAATCTTACAATAGTTGAAGAATTATATTGTAAATTATCTTCCTTTTTTATTGTGAAAGGATAGAGGGAAGGGAGAAGTGGTCTCTGCTTTTTCTTTAAGCTTGTGTGTAGGAGTTTTTATTGTCATTGGCAAAGGAGGAAAAAAGTCCACTTTCTCCTGTTTAATTATTTAAGCCTTAAGTGGAGGAATGAAGGGGAAACAAGTTGCAAGCACTGTAGCACACAGTATGAGATAGTTGAGTCTTCATTTTCCTGTGAGAGATGCAAGGAGAAACTGGAGATGGTTGAGTGGTACAAAATACAAATTACATACTATGCTGTCCCAGATAGCTGTTAAAGAGCTAATAGCTTAGCTAATTTAAATACATAGATCTGTAGGCATAAGTGTTTGCTGTTCCATATGGATTAAGTGCATAGTTTACAGCTATACAAAAGCCGGCACCTGAGCAGTCCTTTCGGAGCTGTTTGTTGCGTGTGATTTTTTTTTCAGGCGAATCGGAACTGCATTGCAATAGCATCGAGTCATGACATTCAGGAATTAGATGTTTCTGCAATACTGGCTACGCAGATCTACACCTGGGTTGACGATGATGTGGAAATAGAAAATAAAGGGTATGCTGTTTCTGTTTCCAACATCGCGCCTTGACTGTGCGTAAGTCGTTGTTTCAAAGCACGGTATTTAGTCTTGTTTGGAATCTAACTTGTAATGTTATTTCATTCATAGGGCTGATGATTTCTTGGTTATCCACGCTCGTGATGATCTGGTAAATGTTCAGGGAACCACTCCGTATACTCACAGTAATCCTGGCACGCCCATTAATATGCCTTGGCTTGGTAGTACACAAACTGGCAGGGGTGCATCTGTGGTAAGTCACTTGTGAAAGAGTAGACGTATACAGTCCATCTTTTTCCCTGCTTTTGTTTGCTCAGTGTTCCTGTTTGTATCTTATAATTAGCATGTACATAAATGTTGCGTTTTTACTACAATAATTTTATAGTTACTTTTATAATGATGCAATTAATAGGCTAAAATACTGCATTTAATTTAATGTACATGAAATAAGGAAGCAGAAGTTTTACTAAGCCGTTTTATATTTTTACTTAAAAATCAAGCTTGAGTGAAGAAGTTACAACTTAAATTGTTGCTTTTTAAACCAGCTGAGGCTAAGCGCAGGTTCTGAAGAGCATAAATTCAGGAGATGTCAGAAGACAATTCATAGAGATCAGCATGAAATGCTTGTCTAAAATATTGAGGTAGCTTTTAGCTTAACCAAAATCTAATGTTTCATTCTGATTCCCAGAGCATTCCAGATATTATTTTAAAGTAAGTACCAACTTCCACTCTGGTATAAATTGCCATTTTGTTACACTGTAGGCGTTCCTAGGAAGGATACTGAATGAACTCCTAAAGCACATTTCATAGGCATGGCAGAGGCTTGCAGTGAAGTTAAACTCTGGAATTGAGCAAATGAAACTTGGGAAAAATGGGGATTTCTGATTGCATAAGAAAAATAAAGAAGGCAATGTTGCATAAATAGGACCAGCTACAAACATCATTTGTATTTTCAGCTACATATTGGTAACTTTAAACAATGTGGTTTTTTTAACCCAAAAGCTCTGAAATCAGCTCTATCATCTTTTCTTTGAAGAGCTGTGTGGTTTGCCACATAACTTTGCAGAAGTTCTATTAAATTTGGCCATTTGACTGATTAATGTTTTTACAGGAGGTAATCAATTTCATTATTTGACATTTCTAAAATAAATAGAGTTGGGGAGCACATAGTAAAGCACAGTTATGTCCTCAAGACTAAACTAATCCTTCTCATAATAAAGGTGACACTTATACAATGATAGCTTCTGTTTTTATACAAAGATACTCTATCTGGAATAAACCTTGGGCCTGAGCAAAGAGGTACTGTGTGAGCTTTAGTTCTGATCAAATTCTAGTTCTAGTCTGACTATTGGCGTGCTTAACGTGGTCCTGTGCACACTTACCTAGGTGCTGTGCAGCATAGATGTAACAATGCAGGCCTATTGATAGTCCCCAGGAAGATGCTTACTTGCAGACACTTAACTGGGCTGAAGAGCTCACACCAGACACCTTTATCCCTCAGGCTGCCTGAACATAGATGTGCAGCTGGCTTGGATAACTGAATGAATTACATCTCATGACTTGGCTGCACTTCGTAGCTTTTTACAGCTTAGAGCAGGCTGATAAGTGTGGTAGAATGAAAGAGCCATATGTTATTTTTTAATTTATATAAACAGTTTAATTTGAATATTAGGAGGAGTCAAGAAGAAAGTAGCATTGAAACAATGCTGTTACAATACCTACATCGCTGCCTTGTATCTTGAAACTGCTTATCCCAATTATCAGTTTTCCAGCTCTGGTGACGTAATCAGGTGTCATCTGCAACTATTCCTGGAAGGCTTGCCACTTTCTCCTCTCAGTTCCATATATAAGTACATCTACAAGTGTATGTGTGCATATACAGTTTGTTTTTGTATTCCTCAACATACTAGTTACATAATCTATTAATGCAAAGTGTTCTTATATAGCTTTCTGTTTCATATGTTGCAAAACCTTCTTTCCTGAAGATACCTGTCTGTGCTTCTGTTGAATGCATTTGTTGTTAATCTTTGGACCTAAGTTTTAGTTGGCATTCTGTTTGACTCTGGCAGAGGAGTAGAGAACCAACCAGGAAATGCAGCCACAACTCCCCTGTAGGGAGAGGTTACAAAGGTACTGAATGAAGGACAAAGTAAATGGAGGAAGATATAGGGATTCTTGGGAGAAAATGGTGTTACTGAAATCTAGAGGAAAATCAGCTTCACCAAAGACAACATCCTGTTGCTACTAAAAAAAAACTTGGCATCTTGTTGAACAGCTTGTCTTTCAAGCTGGTATGACTGGCACAAATATTTGTCACTGTTTATCAGCCAAGTGTCAAATATATATTTTTTTAAATTATTCAGTCACAAAGCACCCAACTCCAGCCATCAGCTGCTTTGCAGGGGAAACAGAACTAGCAGTATTAAGTGTTAATTACACTGATAGTTAAAGGATATGCATTTGTCTTCTAAATTGGAGGTGCTGTACCAGGGATTTGTGTTAGCATAGTCTTTGAAAGACAGGCCTCTGCAAGCTTGCTTTTTTCAAAAAAGGTATAGAAAAAATACAGATTAGGAGATAGTAATATCTATTTGTCTGTTGAATTAAGCAAGCTTTCCATTGACTTCTGGGTTAAAGTTATCATCAGTGAAACAGGTCAACCTATTTATTTTGGTGGAGAAGTAGAGTAAGCCTGAATAACCTAAACATTATTTTTTCACTTACGTAAGGAAATAAACAGAGAATTTAGAGAGTATTTGATAGGTGTACATGCTACTGTTTGAAGAGTATTGTCTTCTAACATCTTGTCTTATGGGTTGCTAATGGGTTGCTTTAGTCCCCATTGTTTTACCAGGACTTTTTAAGGTTTTTTTTCATTTGTGATTTTAAGTAATTATAGAAAACAAATGAACAAAAAAACCCTCATATTTTAAAAGTTTGTCCTTATGTATTGTTTTAAAATAAATTTGGATGACTGAGAGGCATAAGGCTTTCCCTTAAAGAAATATTGAAGCTTTGAAAATGGAATGATCTGAATCTGCTTCCAAAATACAGTCAAAGGATTAGAAGATAGCAGTTATCCTGCTAATTGAAACAACCAAAGAAAACAAACAACAGAACAAACCAACCAAAAAAAAAAAGGTCCAGAAAAAAAACAGAAGGAAATAAATTAAGGCAGGAAATAAAAGAATGAAAGCACAATCTTGAGATACAGCAAGGGGAAGAGACATGCACGGAAAATCCAGATGCGTTTCCCTGATGAAAAATACCCGCATTGTCTTTGCAGCCAGGGTTTTGTGGATTGGACTTCTCACTTGCATGACTTCTTAATCTTCCTTGTCTAATGTCTCCAGTCCTCTTTGTGTACTGAACTCTTGACAGAGAGAGGTTAAACCAATCTGGAAAAACAGAATTCCTGGTAGTGTGTCTTACCCAAAGAAGAGTTGTGGAATTCATGGACAAAAGTGTTGAATTTAGGAAGTGAAGTCACTTTAGGAGCAAAAGTTTTGGAACTTAGGAACAAAATGAAAATCTATTGGAGGTATACTTGGAAAATTATTAAATGCTTTTAAATAATACTTGATTTAACAATTACTAGGTATTTTGCTTATTCTAGGCTTCAAATAGTAATAAATAAGTTACTTTTCAATCAATTACAGTACATTAACTAGACTTGAACTAATATCTTCCCTCCTATTTTTTACTTCTGTTAAAGTTTGTTTACCTCTTTCTTTACATGCTTCTGCCTCTCTCTTGCTTATCTTACAATATTCAGGAATATTCCAATAAATTTAATGGAATCAGAAAGGAATTGGCAAGAAAAGAGGTAAGATTGCAGCCTAAGGAGTGTTTGTACTTGGATCCATAAGTCTCTGAAGCAAAAAATTAATATTTGCCACAGTATATAAAGCTGCAAAAGTATTAACATCTATGCTAGTCTTGGAAGAAACTGTCTTCTGAATTTCTGAAAGCAGTACTTGCTTTCAGTAGGAATTCTGATAGGAAGCAAATCATCTGACATGATTAATTATTCATATTCAGTAAGCTTTTGTTAGGTGGTACTATGTTAATTGCTTTCTATTATTTTATTGAACAGATGCTCAAGAAGGCTATTAATAATGTCAGAAGAATGGCTTCTCATCCAACATTACCATATTGTAAGTTCAGCTTTGTGTTTCTTTAACTGAAGACTGTATATTGTAGAACAGCCTTTGCAAAAAAGAGATCTTTTTTTAAATCAAATGAATATTGTTTTCCTTTATTTTGACTTGCATGAAAGATAGAATGATAAAGCTGTATCAGTAGCTCTAAATTTCATATTTCAGTGCCATCTCAATACAATTCTTAAGTAATTAGTAGGTACAGCTCAATAATGTGTGAACAGCCAGGGTTTAAGCTTCATCAGTAAGTTGATAATCCTACAGTCATGCTATGTACTGTGGCCGATGCTGTGGCTTCAGCAATTTGGAAGATTGTGTGAGCTGGTGCAAGTCTTGCTAAGATTTTAGAAGAAATCTTCCTGCTGATGTTGAGAAAGGTCAGTTAACTGTTTTCTATTGCAGATCTGACAGGTGCTCAAGATGGCAGCGTAAGAATGTTTGAATGGGGTCATGCACAGCAAATCACATGTTTTCGCTCTGGTGGCAACTCAAGGGTAACTCGGATGAGGTTCAATTATCAAGGAAATAAGGTAACTGACAGAATGCTTTGTGTTTACTTTACTCTCATGACAGAAAGTTGTAAATTAACTGACATGCCATTTTCTCCAAATTCGAAGGAGTTTCTCTGAATTGTGAGAGTATTTTCTGTGTAACAAATACATGCATATTTACAATTTATATCTCATTTCAGTTTGGAGTTGTTGATGCTGATGGATATATAAGTTTGTATCAAACAAATTGGAAATGTTGCCCTCTTACAGGGACCTCACCAAAACCGTATTTGGTAAGTGGAAAACTAAACTTGCTTCCATAAAATTCTGTTGTGCTTTTTTGTTTTCTTACCTCTTCAGACATATTAAGACTGGGCAGGGATTGTTCTGATAACCAGTATTAATCAGTTTTTAATAGTGCATTGTTACCATTCTGTAATCTATTTGACAATTTGTCAAGCTCCCATTATACCATTAAAGCTGGAGCGTAGAAAATGCAATGTCATAGGTGAAATAACCTTAATGTTCCATAAAATTATCAGTAATTGTCAGCTGTGAATTGAGCATCAGTAAATCAGGACTGGAAATGTACTGCCCTGAAAAATCAACAGTTTCAGAAGGCATACATGCAGTCTCATATCCTGTGTTCTTTAAACCATATTCAAAAGAACCCACCTTCCTGTGCAAGTTTAAGCTTTCATATTGACAGTAAATCTGTGTCTCTGTGATTAATGATTTATAAACTGCCCTTTCTCAGACCTGGCAGTGCCATAACAAAACAGCCAATGACTTTGTTTTCATCAGTTCATCATCTTTGATAGCCACAGCTGGCTTGTCTTCTGACAACAGGTAAGAACTTACTAAATATTGCTCTGATAACATATAGAAATATGGTGCCATGTTTTCTTTCCCCCCCTTCCCATGTCTAGCTTCAGCTTTCTGGTGGTTCTCCTTATGCAATTTAACAGCAACATTCATACTCCTGCCTCTTTCTTTTGGGGTACACAGTGTTTGCACCTACATTTCCATGCTAAAGGTGATCTTACAGGGAAGCACAAAGCCTCTGTTCATGTTCCCTATGAGTCTGTCTTAAAGTTTTATTGATAGATTTAGGTAGACTTGCATAGCTCTTTGGAGAACACTTAAAATAAGTTTGGATTAAGAAATATCAGGAGTAGCTAACATTCGAATGAATGCAGCTACAAAAGCTTGTAATCTCAATATGAATCTGTAAACATAATAACCAGTAGTAGAAAGGTATGTTTACCAATGAAAGTTATTTAGAGTCTGCCCGAAGATACTAATTTTATAAGCTTGTTTACAGTGCTGTATCCCTGAAACAATTTCTTTGTGGTTCCTGTGACTTCATTCAAGTATTCAAAATACTTGGTAGCATTACTCACTTAATTAAAACTTCTTTTTTTCCATACAGAAATATTTGTCTTTGGGATACGTTGGTCTCCCCCACCAATAGTCTGGTGCATGGTAAGTAAAATACATCAAGGAAAATATTTGATTGGTGTAAAAATAAAAATGAAATAGGAGATCTGCACTCATGGCGAAGTTATTGGGATAATTCTAATACAAACAATAAAACAACTTTCTTCATCCTGCATTAGCTGTAATCTAAGAAGAGATTCTTGAGAAATATCATGGCTCTATGTGAATGGTTTCTTGCCATTTCTTATATCTTTGTACTGCAAGCACAATCCCTGAAAACCAGAAATCTAAATGCTTCAGTCTTAAAGATGGAGTGAGTCTTGTTTGTTGTGATTAGCATATTCAGAAGACAATAAAGAAGATTATGAAACTGTAAAAACAGTATTTTGAAACAGACTTTCTAAGTCTGCATGGATATGCATCCATGTTCTAACTCCGGCTTCCTGTGGTTGTCTTTGTTTAAGTCAGAGGCCCCACTCAACACTAATGGTACCATAAAGACAGCATTAGGCCTTTCCAGGTGTATCTGGAAAATATGAATGTTTTTTAGGAGCTGTTATGTATTTCATTGCCTCTGTGAAAATTCTACCCTGAAAAGCCATGGTTATGAAGTTTTCTGAACTCACAGTTCTCTGAGGTTAAATGCACACAAATCTCCTAGGAAATTGACATTGCTTTTTGTTTTCTTTTTTAAGGAATATGTTTGACAAACAATATGCAAACAAGATTTCATAATCATGTAGTTACTTTCAGAGTCTAATTTTAAGGATGCTCTTAGTGCTCTGTTTCTTTTAAACAGACAGCACATTTTTGCTTTCAAAGACTGTGCAGTTCTATGTCATTTTTATTTTGCGTTATGCCAAATACACTGTGCAATGTTTAAAACATGTAAATAAGAACTGTTTCTGTAAGTATGCTTCTTCAGATGTAATAAATGCTTTGTTGCACTGATTTTATTACTATTACTTTGCTGCTGTGAAAAAGAACTGAATTTGAATATCTGAAATGGAGGTTTAGGCTTAGAGAGTCACATGAACTCCTGGTAAGTTTGACTGCTTAGGCATATTTATATGGAGCATGAAATTTCTAAACACAGATTAAGAGAAGCCTATGAACTCTTAAGTACAAATATTATATGTCACATATTAGGACTTACAGCATCTAGTCTCAGACATACTGAATTTTGCTCTGGTAACTGTCATCTTTTACTAAATCTACTCATTTGGAGGAGTAAGCACACCCCAATAAATGTGTAAACATATCTGGTAACTCAGGAGGAAACTTGCTTTGAAATAATTATTAAAGAGTTTGAAAAGGACTTGTTTCTGGTCAAGGCTTAATAGCTTGTAGGGATAAGGAGGATATTTCTTTCCATACATATAGTAATTTATTCATTTGTGACTACTGCAACTTCAGGATGTCTCATACAAGTCTTGGTTTGCATGTATGTGGTACTGAATGAAGTTTAGCAGGTTGTGATCAGTTGCATTACAGCTTCAAAGCCATTGTTTTTACCATCCTGATCTTTAGAAACTGATGGCAAAGTAATATTAGTACAACGTGTTCACTTAAATTGCTTTGCTTTGGCTTTCAGCTTTTGTCTGTCATGATAGTGGAGCAACTGTTCTAGCATATGCTCCAAAACATCAGCTGCTAATCTCTGGAGGGAGAAAAGGCTTTACGTGTATAATTGACCTTCGCCAAAAGCAGCAGCAACAGTTACTCCAAAGCCATGACTCTCAAGTCAAAGCAATTGCTGTCGATCCTACAGAAGAGTATTTTGTCACGGGATCTGCTGAAGGCAACATAAAGGTATTAATGGGGAACAGGGAGCGAAGAAGTGAAGATCATGAGACTGTGTAATCTTAATAATAAAAGCACACGTGAAACCCTACTGCACTTGAATGTGGAATGGTCAGATGTCATGTTCAGTTCTGAACCCTGACTTTCACATATACTACTTTTGTTTAGAAATATTGTTCTTACCTCACAGTCCACTTTAGTTAATATTACCTTATTATAGGAAATGAATATTAATATTCTATAACCATGTCATTATGGATTGCTGCATACCTTTTCTCTCATATTTAGTGTGAGAAAGATCAATACAAAATGTACTCTAGTTCAATTTTTCCATGACTCATCACTAGTGAGCTTTAAGATCCTGGTAATTATTAGTAATTATTATGGGAGCTTAATGTTTTGATGCTTTTTCAGGTATGGAGTCTGTCTACGTTTAATCTTCTGCACACTTTCATCAATGAGCATTCTCGACAGTCTCTCTTCAGAAATATTGGGACAGGAGTCATGCAAATTGAAACAGGACCAGCAAATCACATACTCTCCTGTGGTGCTGATGGAACAGTAAAGATGAGGATCTTGCCTGATAGATTCAGCCCATTTAATGAAGTGTTAAAAAGTGATGTCAAATTCATGATGTAATATTTTTTCTCAATGCAGTGTGTAACATTTAACTTCTGCCATCCCTGAAAATATTTTTCCTGAAACTAGTCAACAAAGCAGATGTACAATGACAGCTTGTGCCACAAAGGTACTTTTTTTTTATTTTATATATTTATTACTTAGATCTTTCAGTCACTTCAGATTCTGATTGTTGCCTAAAATACATACAGGACTCTGAATTACCTGTTTATAATATACGTAAGATGTTTCTGAGGTGGTTTACTCTTCCTTTTAGGTAGTTATGTTCCTGCCTGGAGTGTACGATCTGCACATAGCCTGTGTTCAACACCTGGCCTTTTTCTGAAAGTAGGTCCAGATAGGAACCGTAGATAATGTTATTCTCTCACTGTGGCAACCTTAGCTGTGTCTCTTCTTGTGTAGTTGGCCAACAATAAAAACTTATACCTTTGTGTGAGAAAGAAGCAGTCTATTTTACTAGATACCCCTACTGTATCAGAAACTGGCCATGCAGACATTAATGTGAGCCACTGTCTGTCTCTGTTCCTGGAATCCAGGCTGTTTACCTCCTTAATTCACTTGGTCTCTTTCCTATGATCTAGGGTATGAGAAACTGAAGAATGTTCTGTGACTTTTCTTCTGTTCCATAGCTTGACTCACTGCCATCAGGATGGCAGACTTAGCTTTTAAAAGAGAAATATATTTTTAACCCTAAACACTCCCTTTACAAAAATATGTACATATTAATGGATTATCTTCCTATTAAAATTGTCAAGATTATTTGTGAGGCTTTAGTTTGATGAAAAAGTACGGGAAGATACAACTTTAGAATACTGCATTAGAATCTCCTCAAAGAGTATTTATTTGCATGTCTGTAGAGGAAAAGAAATACTAATTTATTTTTTACATTTTTTTCCAGTAAGACTTTATTTAGCCCAAAGATACTCAGCTCATTCTTAGCACTTAACATTTTTGTTTGTCTGCTTTTCCTAAGTACTTTACAGAAGTAAAAAAGGGGAATAAAAAAATCAGCAGAGTACTGCTGAAAAGGATACTTTTTTTTTTTTTAATTTTTATTTTATTTCATTTTATTTTATTGCCAAAATATTAAACTGCATAACTTAAGTGTTTGACCAAAATATCGAATCTGTATTTTGGTTTATTTTTCCTGGTCTGTTTCAGAACTTGAGAGTTCGACGGAGGTTTAATTTGTAAACTAGATATAAGGCTGGGTTACTTGAATGCCAGTGGTGTACTTTGTACTAAAAGATATTTTGTGAAATAGAGCACCAAGACAACAAATGTAAAATAAACTTGTCAGATTAGGAACTATGGGGATAAATAAAGCATAGTAGAAGTGAAGGGCTTGTAAAATGAACTTTGTAACGTTCTCAGGATGCTTTTATCTTAAAAATATAAGATCATTTAAAAAGATTTTGTAAATTGCATTAAGGTCATTTAAAATGTATGTTTCACAAGTTGCAGTGGAAACACTAGGAAGGTTTTTATGCACATAACCTGAATTTTCGAATTGTGCAATAAAAAAAAGAATGTGAATACTCCACCACGAAAAAACACGACAGCATTTCAAACTGGTACAGCTGTTCGGTGGTTCACTTGTGATTGTTCTTCCACTACTCTTAGTTGTAGATTAAGATCAAAATTGGTATTAGAACAGTTTAAGTACAATGATGGACCAGAAAAGCGACTGATGAGAAGCGACTTCGCCTTACAGAACAGACTTGCCAACGTGTGTCCTGTCTGCTCAGTGATTCTAATAACTTCTGCTCCTATTAAACAAGGAAGACAACGGGAGTTATCCTCAGCACACTCCTTCAGAGAAGCAGCTGAAACCAACCTGGGCTTACAGCTGCTTGTATACATGCATTAGTTTTATGCAACCTCTGAACTAAGTTATATTCAGAGAATGTGCAAAACAGTGACAGCATTGTATAATGATGTCCTTGATGTTTTGTTCTGAAATATATCTGTGTCTATTTCATTAGGTTTAATATTTCAATCTCAGTTTATTGTACTGGTGATCACAAAAAAACTGTCCTTCCATCTGCAAACTGAGCAGACTTTATGTAGAACATGCCAAGGCATACAATGCTCTCATTTTTCTGAGTCGAGCTGCACTGTGATTATCCTGGCAAACCTGTGCTCAGACCAGAAGAGTAAGGACTGTGAGCAGGCATTTTCAGTAATGTTTATAGTTACCATAAGCTACTCTTAAAGTAATGTAAAGTCACAATGTATTTGCCCATACCTTCATAATAGTTCCAATAAATCCTGCAGAAACTCAACTTTCTAGAATCCCATGTTGCTGCTACTTCCTTTACAAATCAGTTGAATGCGTGTATAATGCTAATTGATATTTAACAATTATAAGTCATTCTATTGGTAGCTTTCTTGTAATAATGGAATCAAAATCAATTATCTTCTGTTGTAACAAAAACTTTTCAAAGGGACACTCTCAACTTTAGTCATTGGGGAAAAAAAAAAAAAAAAAAAAAAAGGAGCTTCCAGCTGATGCCTTAACAGCTTCCATTGATTTCAGTCTTTTCAGCAATTAATGCTTTCTCCCTGTTGCTATGCAAGTTACTCAGAAGGTCAATATTGGCTGCCTAGGGTTCTGTAAGAGGTAGCTGTATGCAGAAATTGAACTTGAAAATGAAATTTGCACTCTCCAGTACGTAATCTCCAATAACTCCATGTCCAGACAAAACGACTTGGTTGACAGTGTCCCTTTTAAATATCATAGCCTCGTAATTGTGACTAGTGTTGGTCCACGTAGCAATACATTCTGCAGCCGGGTTTTCATTCTCATCTTGTTGATTCAGTTACCTCAAACAAATCTGTGATACAAGTTCTTCACTGTTACTGCAGTAACTTCTGAGAGTTAAACTCTGGCCATCTGGGTACTTAAACTGGCTTGCTGTGTGCTGTGAAAAGCAGATAATTCTCAGCTGATGTTGCAGGGATGTTCATGGGGAAGGATGAAGCGAGTGGAATAGACTTAGGTTTTGTACCACGCTGCTATGGCACAAGCTGAGTTTAGGTGTTCTGATGCATTTTAGAAACCTCGCTGCCACTTGCAGGAAATAAACTTCTGGGGATATTCTATGTGAGGTACCATTCCCTTCCTCCTAAGAGCACCCGTTGTTAGATTAGTTGCAATAGTTACGAAAAACCGTGATTACAAGAAAATAAGCTTGGATACTGGATATGTTCTCCAAGATAATTTTTTCAAATGTTTATTTTTACTAAAAGTAGCAAAACAGCCTCTGATGGCAGGTTCAGCACACTGATCAAATACTTTATATAAATAAAGATACTGATTTAACAAGTTTATTGGCGTTTTATTCCTCTCCAGTTTTAACTGTGATATCTGTATGGTTTTGATCTTTACTGTCCGTTTCTGTGTCATTTGTTGCCAAAGCTTCTCATGCTTTAAATTGGTTTCAATTGCTTTCTAATGTCTTCCTCTAAAATTCAGCACATTACTTAGCTCTCAGCTGCAGTGTTTTGTCCTGTTTCTCAGTGGCTGATGATGGTGGTGGTGGTACATCCTGTTGTTTTCATGGGTAAAGCTCACTTTTTGGTTTTAAACTAACAGAATTCAAGCCCTCTACCTGAGAGTGTTGTCCAAATGCTTCTTGAGTAACAACAGCCTTGGGGCTGTGAACACAGCCCTGGGGAGCCTGCTCCCTACCTACCATCCTCTGCCAAAGAGCCTTTTCCTAACCCACCCTGCTGACCAGCTCTGCCATCCCCATGCTGTGATGAGAGCAGAGGCCACGAGGCCTCCCCTCAGCCTCCGCTGCGCTGAGTAAACCAAGGACCTCAGCTGCTCCTCACACTTCTTAGAATCATAGAATCATAGAATCACAAGGTTGGAAAAGACCTAAAAGATCACCCAGTCCAACCGTTCACCTATTCCCAATAGCTCCCACTAAACCATGTCCCTCAACACAACATCCAGCCTTTCCTTGAACACCCCCAGGCTCGGTGACTCCACCACCTCCCTGGGCATCCATTGCAGTGCCTGACCACCCTTTCTGAAAAGTAATACTTCCTCATGTCCAGCCTGAATCTCCCCTGCCGTAGCCTGAAACCATTCCCCCTGGTCCTATCACTGATGACACGAGAGAAGAGGCCGACCCCCAGCTCACTGCAACCTCCCTTCAGGAAGTTATAGAGAGCAATGAGGTCTCCCCTGAGCTCCTCTTCTCCAGGCTGAACATTCCCAGCTCCTTCAGCCTCTCCTCATATGGCCTGTGCTCCAGACCCCTCACCAGCTTTGTTGCCCTCCTTTGAACACGTTCCAGGGCTTCAATATCTTTCTTGCAGTGAGGGGCCCAAAACTGGACACAGTACTCGAGGTGCGGCCTCACCAGTGCTGAATACAGGGGAACAATCACCTCTCTGCTCCTGCTTGCAACACTGTTCCTGATGCAAGCCAGGATGCCATTGGCCTTCTTGGCCACCTGGGCACACTGCTGGCTCCTGTTCAGCCGAGCATCAATCAATACCCCCAGGTCCATTTCCTCTACGCAGTCCTCCAGCCACACCGCCCCAAGCCTGTAGCGTCGCCTGGGGTTGTTGTGGCCGAAATCTTGAACCATGCCCCATGTTCACAGCCCCTCTCTGCATGCTCTGTAACAATTTTATGTCCCTGCTATATTGCAGCAACCAAAACTATCCACAGGTGCTCAAGGTAAGGCTGCACAGTGCTGAGCAGGACAGTCCTGTGACGGGCCTGAGGTACCCTAGGGCAGACTGCTGTCAGCCAGAGCCCCAGGTCTCTTGGGGATACTCTCCAGCTTCCTGTCCCCATACACAGAGCTGGGGTTTCCCCATTGCAGGTGCAGAATCGGACCCTTCTTGTTAAATTCCACGTGGTTGATTATTGCACAGCCCTCTGGTTTGTCAAGGCTCCTCTGCCCTGGAGGGAGTCAACAGGAAAGAACTAGACCTAAAATGGAGCCCCGCATAACCCCACAAGCAGTTGGCCACTCACCTGACGAAGCCCCACTTGATGTAACCCTTGAACCTGACCCCCCCACCGGCTGTCCACATCGTTTTTTTGCCCAGATATTTTGTCCGTGAGCATGCTGTGAGAAGCAGTATCAAAATCTTAACTCCAGAAAGTTTACATCAGCTGGCTTCCCCTGGTCAACAGGATGGGTAACATTGACATCAAAGGAGATCAAATTCATTAAATGCTTTCTTGAGAACCAGACAGCTTACTTCCACCAGGGCCTTAAAAGATTTCCAAGAGCACTGAAAAATACTTGAGAACTTGTTTCCTCTTTGATTACCATGGAATACATCCCATTCAGCCCCATAGGCTGACGTGCATCCAGCCGGAGCTGCATGCTCTGCACAAGGTGAGGGCTGGCCATCAGCCTATTATTACCACAGTCGTGATTCTCCAACTCGCAGCTCCAGGAGCATCATGAACCATAGCTGGTCTCAAACACAGAGATGAGCAAGGCTTTGAACACTTGGCTTTGTGTCTGCAGCCTTCAAGTAACACTGTCAATCTCTCTCTCGTCCGTTTCCTGTTAGCGTGTTTAGAAAAAAACATTTTGTTGTCCCTCACAATACTGACAGCCTTCAACTCCGGCTGCACAAACTGTCCCTACGGTGCCCAACAGTTTCTCTGTAGTCCCACACCGCCCTGCCTCTCGCAGAGGCCGAACCTTGTGACGTTTTATATTCCGCGGGTACTTAAAAGCCAGCAACCCGCATCACAACCAGTTTCTCACGGTAACTTGCCAACTACTTCCCCGCCTGCGGCTCCCCTCCCGGCCGGGCGGGGCGGAGGCACAAACGCCGCCCTTCCTGCCGCTCCCGCGCCCCACGAGCGGGGCCGTCTCCGCCGCGCCCGCACCGCCGGGGTTCTGCCGTTGCCGCAGCTTCTCGCCGCCGCCGCCTCCCGCTCCAGCGCACACAGTAAGTGCCGCCGCCAGGCGGGAGGCGCGGGGCGGCGGCGGCCCGAGTGGCAGCGGGACGGGGGGGGCAGGCTGGCCGTCCCTCCTTGGCGCTGGGGCGGCGGGCCAGAGAGCGCGGTTTGTCCCGGGGCGACGCTGCGGAGCGGGATACGGATGGTTCCGAGCCCAGCGAGGCCGTGCGGAGGGGTTCGGGGCGGAGCTCGCCCCGTCGTGTCCCGGCGGCGGTGCTGCTGGACGCTGGTAAAACGCCGCTTCGGGGATGGGTGAGATAGCGTTACCGAAAACGTGGCCGGTAAAAGTTTGTGCCCTCTTCCCATACGCTGAGAAGGTGGACCGTGGTTCTGTGAGCGCCCTTCCAGTGAGGAGCTTTGTTGGTTCTGCTCCTCCGTCTGCCTGCCGAGCCGCCCGGAGCTCCTGGCAGCACAGTTGCGGGGTGGGCACAGCAAAACGGCGTCACGGCGCGACGGGAGGGCAGCCAGCTCTTTGAAACGGTAGATAGCGGAGGACAAGGGAAAATGGCTTTAAGTTGAAGGAGGGGAGATTGAGGTTGGATGTCAGGGGAAAGTTCTTTACAGGGAGAGCGGTGAGGTGCTGGAACAGCTGCCCAGAGAGGCTGTGGATGCCCCGTCCATCCCTGGAGGTGTTCAAGGCCAGGTTGGATGGGGCCCTGGGTGGCCTGGGCTGCTATGAAATGTGGAGGTTGGTGGCCCTGCCTGTGGCAAGGGGGCTGGAGCTTTGTGATCCTTGAGGTCCCTTCCAACTCTGGCCTTCCTTTCCTTGTCACAGTGCTGGCACTGCTGCCATGCGTTAGTAGTGCAGGATGGTCATTGCATGTGCTTGCAGACCTCGTTTTTATCTTTAATAAGCATGTACTGAGTGTTAAACGAACACAATAGATAAGCTTTCTATTGGCTTGTTTAAAGAATGAGAATGAAGAGAAAAATCCTCTGTGAGGGAATCAGCTGCTCAGATACCCCAAGAAGCTGTTCTTCACTGCTTCCCAGTGTCTGTTTCCAAGCTGTGGGAAGCATTGTCTGTCAGATAAAATGCATAAACGTGTGTTGGGACCAGGTAGGAAACCAAGTCCAGAGTGAAAGCATTCCTTGGCAGAAGGAAGACTGAGGCCTTTCTTTCGGAGGCAGAGCTGGGGGAACTGGGAAGATGAGTAGAAGTGGGAAGAAGGAAATTGAATGTTGAATATTCTTGTTCATTTGTATATCATTTGTATCACCAGAATAGAAGTTAGACTGCGGATCTTTAGAGGAGCAGTAACTGCATAGGCATGAAATGGAAGTCGCTTCATGTTTGCCGTGGTGACAGGAAGCTGCTTGCTTCCGTTGAATAGCAACCAGCATCATCTGACTGCAGCTATAGGCATCAGCACACCATGTGGCTTCGTCGGCCTGCTCTGAGTTATCTTTGAATTCTTGGTGCTGGGTGAGGAAGTGATTGCTGCTTAGAGCAACCAAGAACAGAATCGAGTGGTGGAGGAGCCTGGTCATCTTCTTGTTAGGCCAGCATGAGATGTCTGATATCTCACAGTCCGTAAGCACGTAACGTGGCCCTGCCTGATGTTTTTATACGATTGACAGCAGCACCAAATAACAAATGATAATGTCTAAATGGTACCTGAATAATAACAGCTACAGCTTGATTATGAATTTTCTATTAAATAGCTTGTATTTACTCTTAAGTTTACCTCTTAATAGCTATTTTTCTTTCACTAGAATTTCCCTTGGGTTATTTTAAAGTAGTTCTTACATTGAGACAGATCCAGAAAGAGGTATTTAAGGGGATTTTGTCAAAGTCGCACAGTGATATTTGTGATGTTTGGGGATTGAGTAAATTCAATTGCATTGCCTGCTTCATCTAGATGGCTGGGCGTGTTGTTTTCAGTAGTTCAGTACTTTCTATCTGCTTCTGCCTGGCTAAGTTGATTTTATTATAGCAGTGTGCATCACAGAGATGAAGGTACAAGGCACTTGGACAGTTGTTCCTTCCCTCCCTTTTTTCTTGCTGTTTTTTGTATTTCCCCTGTCTAGTTGGGCTATTCAAACCAATTTATTTTCATCTACCCCAGGTGGCAAATTTCTCATCCTTTCCTTAGGTTTTGGGTATCGGGTTGATCAGATCACAGGGAAAATGCACGGCATAGATCCAAACAGGCTGTGGTGATACAATTTCAGCCATGCAGCGTAGATGAATAAATTCTAATACTTCCATCTCTCTTTTGAAAGTTCCATTCAGAAAATGCTGTGCTCTAGGAGCTGGAGAGTAACATAGGGACTTTGTTAAGATTGCGTTCTCTTGGTTTTTCTTTCTGTTCTTGCAGCATTTTTCAACTGTGATGCAGCAGAAAGTCCAGTCCTCTATTTCAGGCTGGCTTTGCA